TACCAACTACCTAAAAATCTACAAGCCCAGTCTGACTTTTGAACAACAAATTTGACAAGTCCACGGCCGATTTTACTGGCCAGGACCGTCGGACTTGTGGCTAAATTCGAAGACTGTATTATCGAAACCAGTCTTACTGATCGAAATCAGCGGTGCGCTTTGTAGATAAGGTAACAAGACAGTTCGGCACCGGCAAGGAAACGAATCGGCTCCATGTTTAATAGACAGTTCGGTACTGTTTGAGACATTTCGGTACCAAGAAAAACCAGTACCTTGTTTTTCCCCATGTTATTCTGTTGCTTTATAATAAAAAAATGATAAATTGTATAAAACAAAAATATTTTTAAAATAAAAATGAAGAAATTATTGACCATAAAATTCATAAAATCATATTTAGACAAAACAATATTTGATTGTGTTTGAATAAACATTTTAATATATTAAAACAAAGCTGATTGTAGTAAGGCATTAATAATAATAATCAATATTTTATCAACATAAAAGACCAGGATACAAACCAAAAGAGTGTAGACTGAAGGCCTACCAGACTGTGCCTGATGTGAAGAGTCTTTGGCATTGATGAAAACTAGGACCTAAGTCCTGTGACTAGACATGACTAGATTCAGTTGTTCTCGACTAATATTTTTGAAAAGGATATTAAGAAATATAAATCAAATTCTGTTCCTTCGTTTAATTCATTTTGTTCATTGAATCAATCTAAAATGCAAAAAAGGATAATATAAAGGTTTTTTTTTTGGACAAGTTACAATTCCATTCGGACAAGTAAGTTTTGATCAGGGCTTCCAAAACGGTCATATATTCCGGACTTGACCGAAACTTTCATAAAAAGACCGGCTGCTCTCAGCCTCAAACGGTCAAATAGAATTGGTGTGCCACATTTTGTTATTCAAGGCATTTTCATGAAACGGTCATTTCAATTTTTACCAACTATCGATCGATAAAAATGTCCGTTTGGGGCTTTGGGCATGTCCGTTTGGGCATTTTAGTTTATAATTGTGGCAATCTATTTCGGTCATAATTGGGTTTAATAAAACAGAAGCAGCATATTTCAGATACTTTGAAGTGTCTCAGTTAGTCTAATCCTCTGGGTACATAAATGTACGGCTTGGTCTTTATAGCTTGTGTACATCAATAAAAAGTAGAAAAAACACGTTTTCTTTTATTTAAATAACAACAAGCTGTCAAACAATTATCCCTTCAATAAGTTATATTGAAGCCATAAATCATTCACTGATTACAGGTTTGTTACCTTTGATGAGGTGTCCTTAGCTTGTCTTTATCAATAGAATTAATGATGCATAACAATGTACATAAAGGTAATCAGGTAAACGAGGTCAAACATGTAAGCGTGTATGGAACAACATCCTATTTAATTAAGCTTTATAGATATTATTTTAAAAGAGCATTCAGTTTAAAAAAGTATCCTGATATTTAAAAGTTATTCTTCAAATAAGGATATTTGTAAATGAATAAGTATGATATATATTATTTTATTTAACACTGTACATCGTGTTAAATACTGGGGTACTCTCAAGGGGAAAATTTACTAAAATATATAGGAAAAACTAGACCAAGCTGAGTTGTCCAATAAATAAGGGGGGCGTTCTCTATTCTTGTTTTCATATTAAAAACTGTTTTTATAATTAAAATCATAAAGAATAATATCCAATCATGACAATCTCCGACTGTTATAAAGACTTTGTCTCAAATTGAACTTTCCAAATCTGCCATCATGGGCAAACGTAAACGTGACGATTCCGATCAAAATTCGAAATCTGCTAAAAATGCTAGAAGCTTTATTCATAAATGGTTACAACTGTTTTTATGGTTAAGATTTGACAGTATGCTAAATGCCATGTTTTGTGACATTTGTCAAAAACATAAACTTAAAAATAACTTTGTAAAGCCTGGTTCGACAAATTTTCGAAAGTCAGCCGTTGTAGAGCATGCTAATAGCAATGACCACATTCAAGCTCTTAAATTAGAGACAGCTTCCAAAAGTAATCCAATTGTATCAGTATTTGAGAAAGTTCATGAAAAGACTGACAACGGCGCAATGTGCACCTTGTTCCGTAATGCTTACTTTATTGCTAAAGAAAACTTACCAATGGACAAATTTCAGTCAATAAATGATTTAACTAAGTTAAATGGTGCCGTGATCACTTCTAAATTATATCAAGAGAACAATGCCTCCTCCGAATTTATTCAGACAATTTCCGATGTTATAGAGAAAGAGGTGATGTCCGACGTAAAGTTAAGTCCCGCCGTGGGAATTATGATCGACGAGTCAACTGATCTGGCTACGCAAAAACATTTAATTTTGTACTTATCATTGTACAAAGAAAAATGTTATCACTGTTCAGTAGATTTTACACGGTTAAAACAATATCCTTCATTGGGCCTCCTCAATGTTATCTATAAATACCGCATCAGTTGTAAAAGTCACGTGGTCAGGTAATCAATACACAAAAAGAAAAGTATCACGTGTATTGATGATCAAGTTGTACTGCAATTAAAGCCAACATCAACAGTTTCAAATAAGATGGCCTTAATTTACAAATTGTTAAGTACTCACAGAGAGAAGATAGATTATATAAACAGAAAAAAAACATGAGAACAGTCAGGTACTGAAGCTGATTGATGCAACGATGGTTACTGTATTACGATACACAGAAAATGACACAATACCGAGGATAATATTTTATTTATTTTTAGAATGAAGAAAACAAAACAGTTATAAATAATTTTATTGCATATAACACTACTAATTATTAAGACACATATATCAATTTGTGCATCCTCTCAGTTACATTTAAGTATCCAGCTGATCATTGACCGTCAAACATATTTCTTTGAAAAATGTCCGGCAGTCGTCAGGAAATTTTGGAAGCCCTGGTTTTGATATGTACTTTTCCTATTGGGCAAGTTGGAAAAAAAGTTATTGTAGAGGCCTGCATTCGGACAAGTAAGTTTTGGTATGTACTTGTCCTATTGGGCAAGTTGAAAAAAAATGTTATTGTAGAGGCCTGTAAGCATATGCTACGAAAGTACATTGTATGACCTGCAGGAGGCAAGCTGGTATTTGAACAACCCAGTTAAGAAGACCGTATGGACCTCAACTGTCAAGAAGACAATATACAATCACTGGAATAGATCAATAGTTCAGTTACAGCCATTATATAAAGGGCTCAATTTCTTAGCAACTGAAAATTTGAGAACCGGAAATATACACCCTCTACTCAAAATCAACTGCCACTCTACTATTGATACAGCAAGATTGCCAGTAAAATTAAAGCTGCTTACAGGCTCGTATATCCTTCAGAGCAAAAGGATCAGAATGTACAAAGATGAGACTGATCCGAAATGTCTGTTATGTGCCAAGGAAGAAGAAAATATAGAACACTTTATTTTGAAATGTGAAAGCTTGAGAATAGTGAGGAACGCCATACTTCACGAAATAACTACAACGCTGAACAGAATGGGAATTCAATTTGATGAACTATCAACGAACGAAAAAACTACAACATATTCTGGATTTAACGCAGGTAGCGAAAGCAAAGAAACTCTCTCCAGTCAGTGTAGTACAAATAGAACGCCTTACTCGACACCTGCTATATCAACTTCATATAGCCCGTTACAAGATGGTATGTGGACAGTAATAAATCTAGTGCAAGGTGACAATAAAATAAGCGATTCCGTTATCTCAACATCTATAAGGGCATGGTTGGGGGAACCACACAAATTTCTAGAATCAAGTGAACAAAACTGTAAAATAGAGGATTTTACGCAAATTGTGTGGGGGTAGGACTTCAATGATAATATGCGCACATCAGATATCGAATGGTGGAGGGAGTAACAGCACTGTATCAGGTCAGGAATAACCACCAATTGGTGGATTATACCTCAATTGACGTATAATCCACCAATTGACATATAATGGTATAGACCAATTGACGTATAATTCTTTGTTTTTCAAAGCAAATTATTCAACCAAAATGGAGCATTGTTTTCTTAAAACCATATTATTGTATGAAAACATGTCAAAAATTCCTAGTTTAGTATAGTGACATAACATATTGCATTTAATCAATAATTGTATTTGCAGTTTCTTCTATTGTAATCTTGTCAATTCTTGATTGGCAAATTTATCACTAATCACCTGTCAATGGACATCAATACTGTCTGCAGTCATGTGATTATGAGTACAACTTCACAGGTGAATGAAGCTCTTTGTTAATACTTGACTTTCATTATTAAAAGTCAATCATGGTCAATAGTACAGATGTTTCATCAAAAGAATTGTTGTATACATGCATTCTCAAGAGATGCAGCAGGCTTTGACAAAACTGAAACTTTCGGAGGACTCAATAATGGTCATAAAATAGGTTGTAAGTTGCAAAATGATGCTCCTATCTCACACTAGCATTTTATAACAAAAAAACTTGCATTATACGTCAAATGGTCTATTCCAATATATGTCAATTGGTGGATTATACGTCAATTGAGGTATAATCCACCAATTGGTGGTTATTCCTGACCTGTGTATATAGATTGCAACCGAGCTGAGCATGTAAATATGGTTAGATGCCCAATGGTGGAAGGAGAAGCAGCACTGTATATAAAGAGAGCACCTGTTCTACATCATATGAAAATATGGTTCCTCTACAAAGGGGGTTTAAAGATAAGTTAGATTAGATTATTTACGGTTGCAAATTATGATCTTAATAGTAGCAGTAAAATTTTGTTCATGAATACGTAAATTATAAACACCAGTCTACCCATATATTTTTCGACACACATACAAAAAAACGTAAACAAAGTGTTCCCCCTTTTTTGTTTCATACCATATATGTTGCTTTTGCTGTCTTTCTTTGTACCTACAAAAGGGGTATGGGTATCAGTAAAGTGTACTGAGTGTTACTATATTGTTTTTGCTAAGGATTTAAGTAATTAATGGCTGTTTACCGAGTACCTCTTACCAATATTTCTTGTTTCAAACCAGTGCAAGAGTCGCGGGGTTTGCGTCCATATCTTGAGTGTTGAATTTGATTGGTCAACAGAAATTTCTTGATTCCACCGAAATGACATTTCAACGAGAAAATTTTAAAATTTTATTTTAACATTATGATTTAATATTTACAGCACGATTAGCAAGTTAAGACAATATGAATTATTTAAATGATTTATCTATCAATGTAAAATAAATATTTGTAAGAATTTTGCGACGTCATTTCTCAGTGCATTATGGGTAATTAAGCTAGGGATGAGATGAAAACGCCATGATCATCGTGCGGAGGTCTCTCATAAATTATGGCCAGTGAAGAAAATGTAAGAGAGAACACGTGTCGGCTTGGTGTTTTTGAATGAGATTAATGCATACTCTTTTCAATTATGATCTAAAAGTCAACATGTCTGTAGTAATTCATTCAAAAATTAATAAAAAAAATTCTTCCCTGTTAGACGAATGTGAAATGATCATGTGAGAGTGAATAAGATTTATATATTTCGTCATTCATGAATGTCACCCCGAACAGTGGTGACAGTTATAATTTTTAAATACATATCGAAGATCTTGTGACCTGAGATAATAAGAAAACCAAACTTGTGCAGCATAATTGCGCAATAACCGTTAGAAGTAAAAGAAAAAAAATTCAAAAATTATGAAATGTTTCTCAATAGCTGAATAGGACAGGACTTGCAGTCATAAAACTTCCAAGTACTATTCTTGTACTCAGACTCAAAAATCAACTAATCAAAATTCTGGATTTGGTGTTCCGAGCACAAATTTCATTTTCCGAGTACTAAGTAAATTTTTATGACCACAAAAGTCCTATTTCTTTACCCACCAATTAAGAATCAGAAGAAGAGCCCTAACTACTACGAAGGGTAATGTTATGTATTCTGAATAAGATGAAGGATTGTTATCATGGTTATAGCAAATCAACCGAAACTTTATATAGTTTCTGCAAACACTTGTTGAACAGAAGTCCCCACAATAAATGATGAATAGAGGTATCTTTACATTGAGATATTTAGCTAAATTTGCAAGTTGTGACTGTAGATCTAGCTCTGAACAACCTGGCAATGATCACTTTATAATTTTGACATAAATGGTTTAATTGTGATGCAAAATGTTATAAGAACTTTGTATGACTCCTAATTTTTGGAAGAAAAATTTACATACAAGTGTTAATACACTTATGCTATTGGCGTCAGCTAGATATGTTTTATACATTCTTGCTACGTTGATGAAAAAGAAACAGATTGATGTATAGTTGGTCAGTTTATATCAGATTTATAAATCATGATAGAGTGCAACAAATTATAAAATGATTCAATTAGAAATGGATTTATTCAGGATAGATATCCGCAGATACATCCAATTTCACCTGGACATCCAAAATTCTAAAATTGTAATAAACTAATGACTACTTCCTACAAATAGAGCCAAAAGATATCAAAGGGACTTTCAAACTCAATAAGTCGAAAATAAACTGACCACGCCATGGCTAAAAAAGAAAAAGACAAACACTGAGACAAACAACAGTACCACATCAAAAACCAGGATTGACCTCAGGTGGTCCAGAAGGGTAAGCAGCATGTGATCAGCACCTGTCGTGTTGCTCATAACAGACCAAACTGGAGACAAAATTGATGAATATGTTAATGGCATCGATAAAAAGTCTTAATATTGTCAATTTTTTTTTATTACAGAACCCATTTACAGATATTTTGTCTGCAGCTTTGGATGAATCAGGCATAACAGGTGATGAGTTTGATTTTTCAGCTCCAGAGCCAACACCAGAACCTGTACAGTATACAGTAAGCAATTGTGTAACTCTTAAAGTATACCTCAATTTGTATGTTTTGATTTTCTAGTTTAATCTAGCTATAAAACCAGGCTTAACCCACCATTCTTCAGAAAATGCCTGTACCAAGTCGGGAATATGGCAGTTGTTTTCCACTTGTTCTGTTGATTTATAGTGTTCCATTTAGTCTGTTTTTATGGACTTCCCATTTTCAGTTCAGTATTTTGTTATACTTTTTTAATACATGTACTTTAATTCAATGAAATAGGAAATGGGAAATTAAACAGACAAAGTCCCTTTTCAGTTGAGATGTATTTGTGGACTTTTCAACTACAAAAGTCTTGTAGCTCTCTGTTTGCTGTGAGTAACTAGAAGTTTCTCTCAATACTTGAAAATCAATAATTTTACAAAAAAAATAAAAAACCTTAACGAAAACTATAACATTTAATTGAATATTCACATCAAAGAGTATACACCAAAACCATCATGCAACATGTGCAATGTTGCAAAAAAACTAACACGGCTAATTCCATAACAATCATTCATGTAAATCAATAACTATCAGGTCTTGAGTAAAAATAATATGTGTGTGTTTGGAAAAGGGAGACTTTGGTTTAATAGTCACACAATTTACAATAACTATTAAAATTGAGAATGGAAATGAGGAACATGTCAAAGAGACAACAACCCGACCAAAGAACAGATAACAGCTGAAGGCCACCAATGGCTCTTCAACGCAGCGAGAAAATCCAGCACCCGGAGGTGGGCCTCAGGTGGCCCCTAAATAAAAAATATGTACTAGTTCAGTGAAAATAGACATCATACTAAACTCCAAAACATATAAATGAACTAAAATTAAAAAAAACCACAAGACTAACATATTAGGAGTGATTATCCTACAGTCCCCTCTTCTATGGGTAATCTTAACTAAGTCATATCTGTTCTGTATTCTACTTTGTACACTGTTAAATTATGAACATATCTGTAGTTAAAGGTAAATTGTATTGCAGGATCCTAACTTACTGATAAGCCAAAACCAATATATACGACATGAGCCTGTCCCAGATCCTAATGTGTTTTCTCATGCTTTGAAACAGTTGGCTACAACAAATTATCAGGTGTACACTAATCAAAGATCTAGTCCGGTAAGTCATTAAATCAATTTAAAAGCTTATGATATTAAATAAACAATGATAAAGCAAAATGTAGATTTCTTATGCAACTAACATGTACGCATATTGTCATTTTGTTGCTTTGATTCAATCAGCAATTCAAACAAATGCTTGGTTTTTATAAATGAATTGAGTGTATTTAATATATTCAGAAATTAATATAATATAGAAAAAATGTTAGGTGTTGTGCCATTTGGTCATGTGTGCTGTTAGTTTTGTTCAACATGGTTAAATAAAGGGGGCTTACTTGTATTTTAAGAGTAAATATTTTTTTCAGGTTATATTTTCCAACAGTCGAGGAGCTCTCCACAAGACATCTTCATCTCCTGCCATTATAAGAGTTCCTCCAACAGGTCAATATGTAGGACAAAAACCACAACAGATAAAACTTCAGCCATCTACACAAGGTGGACAACCAAGAATTATCAAGATTACCAGAGTGGGTAGTAATGCAAATAATCCAAGTGCAATTAACCTGGCAAATCTACCAGGATCTGGAGCTATTAGATTTAATGCTAACAGTGGCTTAGGACTACACCCTTCAATTCCAAGCAATTTAGCTGGAAAGAAGATCATAATTACAAATGGCATCGCAAAGACGAGGCCGTCCGATATTCCTTCTAGTCATGTGGTTTACACTCAACCAAACATTGTCCGTAGTACAAATTCACCTGTGCAATTTATAAACCAAGGAGTGTTTGCAGGTGGCAAAGTGTTCCCCAGCAGTAGTAATTGTGCAGCTGTGTCTTTGTTAAATAAAAATGTACCTCACACTTTACAAAGTAATATACCAACAATGTTACACAGTCCAAGTATGCCCAATATGAACAGTAACAGTTTGCCTAACGGCGAAATGTCTAATATTAAGACAAACATCACACAGAAAGATATTTCCCGGCTGTGGTCAAATCAGGATTTGAAGCTGAAGTCTGTTACACAGAATATTGCTGGAATGCATAGATCCATGAGTCAGGTACGTTTTTTTGTTTCAAGGAGTTATACATTATGAGTTAAAGGATCTGGTTAAATAAACATTAGGGTTAAAGGGTACTGTACATGTGACAATATTGAATATTCCCAAGATAAACTTTTAAATTAACCAAATTGAAACAAATAGTACTTGCTTAAAACTGACATGGACTGAAATAAATTCTTTAATAGATAATGGCTGCAACTGTTCTCTTAGATATATATGAAAAATGGAAATGTCGTCATGTTGGCCAGTAAAATGGAGAACACCAAACAAGTCGGGGGTTTCTTGAACAACCCTGATTTTGAGCTCTGACTCATAGTTTTATGAGGATTTCTTCTAAAGATAATTCACCAAAATGTTGTTGGTTGCAACACCTAACATATTTATTAATCAAATGAAACAGTTTTAATCAAAACCACATAAATTGTCATCTCTTGTTAAATTACAAGTTGCAAATAGCATGAATAGCAGACTTCCAGTAAAGCAATATGCATGATATTTATGATACCAGAATCTGTGAAAAAAATGATATCTGGATTGTGTAAAAAAAAAATTAAAATTAAAAAATTTAATCATGACCCTACAATGTTTAGGAAGGAAACCACAGTCATGATAATTGACAATGCCAAAGAAAAAAACATCAAACATTCAAATTCAGATGAATTATGAATATCTTGTTAAATTTATATAAACATGATTAATCTGTAAAATCCAGCTTGTTTTTATACGACCACAAAAAAATTTTGTGGTCGTGTATATTGGTATGACGTTGGCGTTGTCGTCCGCGTCGTCGTTGTTTGAAGACACATTGGTTTTCGCACTCTAACTTTAGTTTAAGTGAATGGATCTCTATGAAATTTTACCATAAGGTTCAATACCACTAAAGGAAGGTTGGGATTGATTTTGGGGGTTATGGTACCAACAGTTAAGGAATTAGGGGCCAAAAATAAGCATTTTTGTAACTTCCAGACATAACTTGTGTGTTAGTGTATGGATCTCTCTGACATTGTACCACAATTGCAAGGTTCCATATCACAAACGGAATGTTGGGATTGATTTTGGGGGAAATTGCCTCAAAATTTAATGAATTAGGGGCCAAAAAAGGGGCAAAAAACAAGCATTTTTCTAGTTTCATGATAATAACTTGTGTGTAAGTGTATGAATCTTTCTGAAATTGTACTACAAGATTCCATATCACAAATGGAAAGCTGGAATTGAGTGTGGGGGTAATTGCCCAAAACGTTTAGGAATAAGTTTCCAAAAATAAGCATTTTTCTAGTTTCCAGACAATAACTTGTGTTCAAGTGTATGGATATCTCTGAAATTGTACTGCAAGGTACCATACCACAAAGGGAAGGCTGGGATTGATTTTGGGGGCAATTTTAGGAATTAGGGGCCAAAAAGGGGCAAAAAACAAGCATTTTTCTAGTTTCAGGACAATAACTTGTGTGTAAGTGTATGGATATGTATTAAATTGTACTACAAGGTTCCATCTCCCAAAGGGAAAGCTGGGTTTGAGTTTTGGGGTAATTGCCCTAAACGTTTAGGAATTTGGGGCCAAAAAGGGGCCTAAAAACAAGCATTTTTCTTGTTTCCAGACAATAACTTGTGTTCAAGTGTATGGATCTCTCTGAAATTGTACTGCAAGGTACCATACCACAAAGGGAAGGCTGGGATTGAGTTTGGGGGTGATGAATCATAAGGGGGTTCAAAAAATTTGGGGGAGGGATTTTTTTTTTCTTTAAAATTTTCCATTTTAAATTGGTTATTTCTGATTTATATATAAAAGCAAATAATAATGATATGGTTTGAATAGGTAAATTAAAAATTTCTAAGTTCTTAGACCACATTCATTCTGTGTCCAGAAAGCTATGCTGTGTCAAATATTTAATCACAATCCAAATTCAGTGCTGTATCAAGCTTGAATGTTGTGTCCATACTTGCCCCAACTGTACAGGGTTTGACCTCTGCGGTCGTATCAAGCTGCGCCCAGCGGAGCATTTTATTCAGTTTGTTTGTTGACTTTTGTTCCTAAATTCAAAAAAACCAACATTAAATACATGTACAACTTCACAATTCTGATGCACCACTTCAACAAATAATGTCTAATTAGTGATGCCTCAGCAGTAGTATTCAAGAGACCAAAAGTAAAAATAACTAAGTTTCCCAGACATTATTTACATTGTATCAGGAAAATTCAAATAAACATCAATGACAAAAAACTGTGTCTTCTGCAGTATTCAATTAAAGTGCATGGAAATAGGCTGATTGAGAGGCCCCAAACCTTATGGTGATGTGTACCTAGCCACCATGCTGGAAGACTTGCTTTGCCAGTCTATTGCTGTACTTACAAGTTTTTTCTCAGACCGAAATTTTTCTATCAGTAGAGGCCCAATTGGCTAACACTGTCAAAAAGTTAATTTTAGAACCTGTCAGGCTTCATGAAGCTTCATGTGCATGTAGGAATATTTAAATATTTTGGTTAAATAAAACAGATCCGCTAATTGACTAAATAATTTTGAACAGAAACTATTAAAAAGTTCAGAAAAATATGTATATGGGCAATAATTTGGTATTCGGCCTTTGGTTTCTTTTTGTATCTTTTTTTTTAAGTTCTAAAACTTTAACTTTTATTCTGTGGGTTGTGTTGGTGTGAGAATAGTATTAATGGAACAAGTGGGTTTTTTCGAGGAAAAATTAATCCATTTTGATTCACCGTTTTCGTGACAGGAAACCAAACAGGAAACAAAACTTTATTTTCTTTATTTTGCACAATTTATTTCAAAAGACATAAATGAACACCATTACTAGTGTTACTTGCTTCATGTTAATATTTAAAATCTATTTTCAATGTTAAATTAAGGATTTTTTTAAACGCGACAGGAAACCATAAGAAACAGAAAGCAGTTCTTTAGTTTTATTTTAATTGGAAAATCAGCTTAAAATAATCTGTACAGTAAACTTTTTCTTGATAATGTTACTTATAACTTTGGTTTTTAAATTTAGGACTGTTTTTGATAATTTTTTCCAATAGACAATAAAAACTATTGAGAATATAGAAACAAGGGCACTTTAGGATGTCACTATAATAAATTATTTTGGGCGCCGACTTGCATCTACTGATTTTGACTACCAATGTATTTTCTCTTGCTTTTTGTTATAATTCTTGTACACTTTTATATGTAGCACATGTGCCTACTAACCCTTCATGCCCTTATAAACCCAATGCAGTGTGGTAGCTAGCTCAGTAACACAATTGGATGGTTAACACTTTGTGCTTATGCGTCACTAACCAGAAAATTCAAGCACTGTAAAAACTAGGAGATCTAGCTAGTGCTACTTATCTAATATAATGTACTTTTCTATAAAGGGCTGTTCCAGAAGTGAATGTATGGGGTGTTGGGAGGCACTTTCTCAGCTCTCACTTTTGATTCAATTGGAAAGATGCAGGACATTTTAAATTTCTAAATTTTATTGAACACAAAACAAAAAGCATAATCCAACAAACATATTAATGTTTTGAACATCCAATATGTGAGTGATGTCCATTTTATCCACAGTATAAGTAGTATCTTGTAACGTCCACCCTGTCCCTTGCTTTTTGTAAAATTTAAAATTGAGAATGGAAATGGGGAATGTGTCAAAGAGACAACAACCCGACCATAGAGCAGACAACAGCTGAAGGCAACCAATAGGTCTTCAATGCAGCGAGAAACTCCCGCATCCGGAGGCGTCCTTTAGCTGGCCCCTAAACAAATATGTATACTAGTTCAGTTGCATGTTTTTATATAGATTAGACTGTTGGTTTTCCCGTTTGAATGGTTTTACACTAGTATTTTTGGGGCCCTTTATAGCTTGCTGTTCGGTGTGAGCCAAGGCTCCGTGTTGAAGACCGTACTTTGACCTATATTGGTTTACTTTTATAAATTTTGACTTGGATGGAGAGTTGTCTCATTGGAACTCACACCAAATCTTCTTATATCCAATAAAAGTTTGAATTGTTTTACGTTTGTGATTTCGGGACCTTTTATAGCTGACTATGTGGTATGGGCTTTGCTCATTGTTGAAGGCCGTAAGGTGACCTATAGCTCAGCTGTAAATTTCTGTGTCATTTGGTCTCTTGTGGAGAGTTGTCTAATTGGCAATCATACCACATCTTCTTTTTTATAAAGACAAGATTCCATATACAAAACATTATTTTGTGGGTGTATAGAAATTCAATGAAATCCTATATTAATTGTTTACACCCATTCATTACAACTGCTGGAAAATTACAATTAAGTACCATGAATTACAGAAATATAACCAAAAACCTCATATACCAAAAAGAATAGCCTAGTTTATTTCACTAAATTTCTTTCCAAAATTTGTGACCACAAATATATAAATCTGATTAAAAAAAAAAATCTGGTAAGTTGTTATTAGACTCGTTTCTCTAAAGGTCACAAGTTTGATGGTAACTTCTTATCATTCAATACAAATTATGACCGATCTTCAAAGTCACAAGTCCTTAGATTAAACAGAACCCTAGTTCCTTTCAGCAAGGGCAACTGTAAAAAGCTTATTTTACATGTCAACATTAAAGTGACATGTTATTTCATGCAATGTTTTATGGCAAATTTGATATCTAGGTGAACATATTTTCAAAGCAAAATGTTACTTTTAAGTTGAAAAGAAAAGTGTTTTGATATATTTACCATGCAGGCAGTGAACCGGCACTACTTACCTGAAGGGAAATAACACTTTTGAAAAGCTATGAAATTGTGACGCATACAACTGAACTGGATACAACATTGGCCGTTTCCGTGCATTGATTTATTACTGGCATACTTATGCATTTAGATTTGCATCTCTGGTTAAAGTCTGTCTTAAATGTAATAGTATTACTATTAAACTCCTAAATATGTGTTTGTTTTGAAAAAAATTAGTGCAATTTATTCAGAAATTTCAACGTTTTCTTTATTGATACAGGATACCATAATCGTTGTATCTTGATGTTTTAGCCAAAAAAATGTATTTATTGGTTTTGAAATTCCAGTTTTATACAATTAATTCCAATGTCAAATTCCTATTAATCCAGTAAAGTAAAAAACTTTTAACTTGGAATTAAAATCTTATAATAGGCATCATGTGCTATCTGTGACCTGTACACCATCTACATGGTTTCCACATATTTTTTTGTTAACCTTCTTTAGTGGGCTAAAATCGATAAAGTACTTCCTTTCAAGTCATGCATGGTAAAAGTTTACTTCTCCTTTGACAATATTATTGCATTTTTGAAAAGTGTTTGCAGAATATGATTAAAATTAAAAAAAAAAAAAAATTGTGACAAAGATACCAACTCTGTACATTCCAAGTGTATTTTTTTAAATTAGCTTTATTTACCTAAAATATCAAGTACAATTTACTGCTAATGCAAAATCAATTCAACGAGCATCGGCAGAATGATAAGAAACGTAATGTATCAATCGAATTTTCCAAGGACCCTTTTCATCGTTATCCGGAAACAAAGTGTGTTGTAACGTCCCTCGAATAAGAAATCGATTTTGTCATGCCATTGGGCATTTATTTTCACTCAAGATCGTATGTAACATTATGCACGTAGGAAAAATAATAGACCCCCGGCGCGATCTCTTTGAAAATTGTATTTTCCTTTTTTAAACAATATGAAAACAGTCTACATAATATGCTTGCTACTATCCTGTTGGAAACAAAAACAATGCTTAGACCTAATATTTCATATACCCGGCCGTATTAGCTTAATCACATGTTAGCCACGCGTTTCACGTATGACCGGAAATGATTTGGACTGAACGACAAAAACAATTTTAATAAAAAAAAGGAAATAACTGGACTTCTGTTTCGTGTGAAATGTAACGCATAACGATAACGTCATTTTCTAACTTAATTATTACGAAGAACAAAACTAGAATGTAAATAATCAATGATTTACCTGTTTGAACATCTCGCGAGAGTTCATATTTGCATATTGTTATGAATAATTCAAGTACAATAAAGCAGACTACACCATCTAAAATTTGCGTTACGAAACCGGAAACCAAAGTAACGCTACTTTTCTTACACCTGCTACAAAAATACTTAAAGTTCTCAGCAATTTATTCTGACTATTCTTTTTGATCGATGTTCTTGATTATTTGAAAGCAAAAGTTACGATTTTGCAGGCGACGATTATCTTTAAATCGGGCAGCGTTACGCACTTCGGAAGCGAAAATAACAGTAAGAAACGACATACAAAAGTGGCCTGATAATCTTAAACATTTGTTTATTTCAAATTCTCTCTAGGGGAGATTAGAAAGCACCTATATTTTAATAGAAATAATAGCATTTGATGGTGGAGCAACAATTTCTCTCAACAAAATACAATATTTTATCACTTTTCTATCGTTATCGGAAACGGTCCCAATACCAAATTATTGCCCATATATAAATTAATACAATAGATATTAGTAATTACATCCATATAACTGTATAAACTGTCAAAAAACTACATGTTTGATTTTTTCTTATTCACTCATAAAAGTTACATTTTTCAGGATTTAAAGTCGCAATGTACTACATGTACTAAAGCTTAGTAACAGGTTTGGGGGGAAATTATACATACAAATTTTTCTCCTCCAGAATCGAATGGAATTTTAATGGACTTTACCATGTTTACTTTGAATATTTTACTTGGTTTAACAGATCAATACAAAAATAAACAAAACATACAAACAAAAAAAGAAAAAGTTAAAAGAAAATGATCTCTGTTATTATATGTTGGTTATTTTTATTTTGAACAGCAAACTCTTGGCACCAGTTTTGTTTCAAATGCAAATCCACTGGATGATGATGACGTAGAAGAAGAAGTTCAAGAATTAGGACATGCTGAAACTTATGCTAATTATATGCCTACAAAATGTAAGTAGAATATTAGTCAGAATTCTTTGGTGAAATATGTTGCTTCTTCTAAAAAAAAATGTACATTTGTTCAAAGTAGTAAAAAAAGATTCTTTCCTTTAAACGTGTTCAACTGGTTTACACAAAAAACTGGTGCATATCATATGAAAGTTCAGCTCATCAAGGACAGTAGACAGGTAATGTACTTAGTTAAGTAGTTCATACCAGATAAAGGAAATACCCTAGGGAAATTGCCATGAAGTTTCTTGGTAGGGCACTATGTACAGGGTACACATAAAGTTTTTGTATAATAAGGGATTCCAATTTTTATGGTTTATACACAATTTCACAAATCTTGGGTTTGTGGATTTTTTTAATTGGTAATCTTGGACTTGGCACATTAACAAACAACTGAACAAGGCACATTGAAAAACTACGGAACAATTAATTTGAGTATTTGAAATATGAAGGCCATGAACAAAAGAAATTGATAATTATTGGTTTTACGAAAGTAAATAAAGCTATTTATATATTAAAGATGATTTTGTATTTAAAAGGATGTTTTCACTATTTACAGTAAATTTAGGAATCAAACATCCAGATCCAGTAGTAGAAACTAGTTCTCTGTCCAGTGTAGAGCCTCAGGATGTCTGGTACAAGTTGGCTATACCAGATATAACCATAGAATGTGGAGAGTTATCTGCCCTTCAGTTAGAGGCTATTGTGTATGCCTGCCAGAGACATAATGTTATTTTGCCAAGTGGAGACAGATCTGGTTTCTTGATAGGTAAGGCCTAAATATCACTTTGTAAATGGATTTTTGTTAAATGACCAAAATATTTATAAAAATGTTAAGATGCCATCATAATTTTAAATAGCTTAAAAAATGCAAGTTTACTAATCTGTATATTTGCAATACAGTACATTGTATTTTATACAACATGTGCATGGCCTTATTGAATGAGGGCTATTCCAGAAAAAAATGTAAAGGGGGTGGGGTTGGGGTTGGAAGGCAGTTTTGTTTTAGCACCTGCATCCCAGACAATTGTAATAGAGAACGATAGTGCATTATAATGTGAAAAGTTGCTCTTATATCCATCACCCATGTATTATTAATATAAAATGCCTTCCAACCCCCTCATTCATTTTTTTTCTGGAATAGCCCTGAATATAAAAGATGAAGATGTGGTATGATTGCCAGTAAGACAACTATCCAACAGAGATCATATGTGGCCTTCAACAATTAACAAAACCTATGAATAAATTTAAATTGGTCAAAGCAGGGAAATCATTGACATCTATATGGTTGCTTTCTAAGATACAGTTATAGAATAATGTAGAATTAAAAAATGTTCACATTATGACAGAACTACCTGTAGTAAATAATGATTAATAAATGATATGTTATATATAACTTACAGGTGATGGTGCCGGTGTAGGTAAAGGAAGAACTGTTGCAGGTGTCATATATGAGAATTATTTACTTGGTAGAAAGAGAGCAATATGGTATGTATGAAAAAAAGAAAATTGGTATCAATGGTAAATCTACAGTATAAATTATCCTGAACTAACTTATATAATTATAAAAAAACAGCTGTGTCAACCAGTTGGAATTTCAAGAAAAAAAAGTATTAGGACTTTCTCTATAGATGCTTGAGATGTCAATGTCTGTTAATTTAAGAAACAAGAGATAATATTGTCTGAAATCTAAATATAATGATTTCTATTTATGCAGGTTGAGTGTGTCAAATGACTTGAAGGTTGATGCAGAGAGAGATTTGAGAGATATAGGTGCTGGCAGAATAGAGGTTCATTCATTGAATAAGGTTTGTGTTATTGGCAAAATTATTATTTTTTTAACAGAGTAATTTTTATTGTTTTAAAAAAAAAACTTCAAATGTCAAAAGACAGCAGACTTAAGATTCAATGAATTGGAATTTCATGAAGTGGAAGTTCTAGAATCTTTGTGCAATATCACTAAACTATATTAGACATGTTAGACAGTAAACATGATAAAAATATAGATTAATGAAAGAGTCTGGCAATTGAATAAAACTGTAATAAAAAAATTGTAAAAAGTATAACAGTTTTTTGCTTTGAATAATGGGCAACTTTCATTAAATACAGAGAAAGACGTTACAAGTTTATTACTACAGAAGTAAGAGAAACATCTGTAATGACCTGCTTTCAATAAGGTTAAGGAAAATTAATATCAGTGTCATAATTGAATTTATACCAGATATTTATGTTCATAGTTATCTGGTTATGATAGTAACTTCTTATGTCATGTATGTATAGTAAATCTTGAATACTGTATGGGGGGGGGGAATAAAGTACCATGAAGACCTATTACAAAGTGTTGTCAATTTATAATAATGTGGGATCGTTATTAATTATGGGATGTTATCAACCCCAGCAAATAGAACAGATTGTTAACAAGTAAGAGAAGTAGTAGGAACATTTACATAATTACCATAGATGACCATTTGACAACTGATGTCTGATTGGTTACAATATTTAACAGTTTTCTGAGTTGAGAATTTATTTTAAATTACATGCCAGACCAAAATTCATAACTCAATTTAAAATAAACATTTGTAGTATAGACTGATCCACTTGTTTTCAAGGTTTTCGTTTCTTCACACCCTGAACAGAAGTTATATTGCATGTATAGTATGTTATGTATGTAAAGAAATCAATCTTTCTTGTTTCAGTTAAAATATGCAAAAATATCATCAAAAGAAAATGGCAGCGTTAAGAAAGGTGTGATATTTGCTACTTACTCCTCTCTGATTGGTGAGAGTCAGTCAGGTGGGAAATACAATACCAGATTAAAACAACTGCTGAAATGGTGTGGAAAAGATTTTGATGGTGTTGTATCCTTTATAAAATATGTCGTTATTGAAAATAGTGTCTATACTTGTTCCTTGTATACTGCAAATGTGTATTGAATTTGGTTAAAATAGGTTTTTCAGAGTTCTTGAAAAGTGGTGGTCTGAAGGTTTTGACCACAAAATTTTCATAGGACTGACACTTTTGTGGTATTTTGCAATAGAAATAATAGTGAGGACTAGCAGATTTTCTTCAAGGACCACAAGGGAAAACAAGATTTAGAGAACTCTGTGTTTTTTCTATAAAAAGACAGAATATTGGTGTTGGAAAGCACTAGAATAATGCATTGCTGGTACAGGTAGTAGTATGTCATTTTTAAAAATGTGAATATTATGTTTTCTGATTAAATTTACATGGATGAGGAGTATGAAAAAAATGTATTACAACCCTACATATTTTTTCCTCAATTGCCCTATCAAATAGATTTCTAAACCAGCTATTCAAGTAGATATGCAATTGATAGCTCTGAAGTTAAGATTTTTTTTTTTCTTTGAGAAAAAAATTAACAGTACTTGCAAGTTAGAGCTACAGGTATATTAAAATTAGAAATGCTGTATGTATATAACACTAATAAAAAAACAAAGAGAGTGTATCTATTTTTCTTAACGTAGTGTCAGATTGTTTTTGATGAATGTCACAAAGCCAAGAACTTGTGTCCAACAGGTTCTAGTAAACCAACTAAAACAGGACAGACAGTATTAGAATTACAAAACAGATTACCTAAAGCCAGGATTGTGTATGCCAGTGCTACAGGTAATATATATAGTATTGACTTTAGTCATAAATTCTGTGAATACACTTTTTTGTCCTTGTTCAACGATATATATTTCAGATGACATCTGAATTGTAACTTGAAATGGATATGTTGAGAATGCATCTAAACTTGTAAAGGAAAGGAGAATGATAGACATGAAATATATTTTTAAGGCTAAAAGAGTTAATAAACTTTTATTTAACAGTAACCACATTTAATTTTTGAAACCTGAGGGTATTATTGCTGTTTTACCATGTAAACAGAATTATATCTTTGCTTTGACGATTTGAATCTAGATTTACATGATTGACTATTATATTGCTTTTATGATTTTTAGGTGCATCTGAACCAAAGAATATGGCTTACATGACTCGACTTGGACTTTGGGGCCCAGGAACACCATTTAAAGAATTTAGTGACTTTATTCAAGCAGTTGAAAGAAGGTATACATTTTGATGCAATAAATAAAGTATTGTATTATTTTTAAAAGGCAGAGAACTCAACAGGAAAATTCCTTAAATCACTTTATGACACTATTTATAAACACATGCACATCTTAGTTTAGTCACTACATGTTAAAGAACTTTTTAAACTCTTCCATTGCTGAAGTTGAATTGATTATCCTATCTAATACACCTTTATGAATATAAGATTTCTTATGACAAAGGTTTTACCACTTCTGGTCCACACTTTTTGAATATCCTACCAGTTGTTATTGCAATCACTTTATCAATAGGGCTCTTCGTCTGTACATTCAACAAATATTTTCTTCACAATTTTCTCAGAAACTAGGAAACAGAATGACCTTATATTTGGTCTGCCGCTTAACTGATGAGTTGGAACTTATCAGCACTTTTTGAATGTGTTGATGGTACTTTTTGATCTCCTGAACAGAATTACTTCATATTTATTTTGGGCAGCAGCTTTTCAGATCTGTCAGAAATCTTTTCCCTGTGTTCCGATACTTTGAATTACTAGTGGGGTATGCTTAGCAAGACAACATAAATATTTGCCACTGGAATTTCAGCTATAAACTATTAAAAATAAGACAAAATAAAATTCTGGTTTTGAATTCAAATGCAGTGTTACTAGAAGGACTTTTAATCTTATTTGTAGAGGTGTTGGTGCTATGGAACTGGTTGCCATGGAAATGAAGCTAAGAGGGATGTATATTGCCAGGCAGCTGAGTTTCCAGGGTGTTACATTCAGGATAGAAGACATTCCATTAGAGGAGAACTTTATCAAATGTTACAACAAAAGTGTGAAAATGGTAAATGTTACCTCGATCAATAAAATGGGATTTGAAGGAAACATCTATGAGATAACATCACAAGATTTCTAGAGGTCAACATATGGTCACCAATGAAAGACATGTGTTAATACTATATGTGTACTATATTTGAAGTTTTAGGTCAGACAGTTGTGAATGACTTCAAAACCTTTAACCTAAATGGACAAAAACATGGAGTAAACAATAACCATTGATTTTTATACGACCGCGGATGTATATTGGTATGACGTTGGCGTCGTCCGAAGACACATTGGTTTTCGCACTCTAACTTTAGTTTAAGTGAATGGATCTCTATGAAATTTTACCATAAGGTTCAAAACCACAAAAGGAAGGTTGGGATTGGTTTTGGGGGTTATGGTACCAACAGTTAAGGAATTAGGGGCCAAAAAGGGGCCAAAAATAAGCATTTTTGTAACTTCCAGACATAACTTGTGTGTTAGTGTATGGATCTCTCTGACATTGTACCACAAGGTTCCATATCACACAGGGAATGCTGGGATTGATTTTGGGGGTAATTGCCTCAAAATATTAGGAATTAGGGGCCAAAAAAGGGGCAAAAAACAAGCATTTTTCTAGTTTCATGACAATAACTTGTGTGTAAGTGTATGGATCTTTCTGAAATTGTACTACAAGGTTCCATATCACAAAGGGAAAGCTGGAATTGAGTTTGGGGGTAATTGCCCATAACGTTTAGGAATAAGGGGCCAAAAAGGGGTCAAAAATAAGCATTTTTCTAGTTTCCAGACAATAACTTGTGTTCAAGTGTATGGATCTCTCTGAAATTGTACTGCAAGGTACCATACCACAAAGGGAAGCCTGAGTTTGGGGGTGATGAATCATAAGGGGGTTCAAAAAATTTGGGGGGTGGGGATTTTTTTTTCTTTCTTTTTTTCCTTTTTTTTTTCTTTTAAAATTTTCCATTTTAAGTTGGTTATTTCTGTTTTATATTTAAAAGCAAATAATAATGATATGGTATGAGATACACACCAAACAGGATGTGTAAATTATTATATAATAAGTATTGTGCAATAGCAAGAAATTTTCAATTGCACAGTATTGCACAATAGCAAGAAATCTTCAATCGCACAGTATTGCGCAATAGCAAGAAATCTTCAATTGCACAGTATTGTGCAATAGCAAGAAATATCCAATAGCACAATATTGCGCAATAGCAAGAAATTGTCAATTGTACAGTATTGCGCAATAGCAAGAAATATTCAATTGCACAGTATTGTGCAAAAGAAGATACTTCGTATAAATTGCTTATTTCTTGACCAATTTCAATGGGGTTTTATTCTTGAATTCTTGGGGTTCTTTAATATGCTGATTCTAACCGTGTATTAAGTTTTTGGATTTTGGGCCCCGTTTTTAAATTGGTCCACATTGAGGTCCAAAGGGTCCAAAATTAAACTTTGTTTGATTTCATCAAAAATTGAATTATTGGGGTTCTTTGATATGCCGAATCTAACCGTGTATTTAGATTCTTAATTTTTGGTTCCGTTTTCAAATTGGTCTACATTAAGGTCCAAAGGGTCCAAAATTAAACTTAGTTTGATTTTAACAAAAATTGAATTCTTAGGGTTCTTTGTTATGCTGAATCTAAATGTGTATTTAGATTTTTGATTATGGGCCCAGTTTTCAAGTTGGTCCAAATCGGGGTCCAAAATTAAACTTAGTTTGATTTTAACAAAAATTGAATTCTTAGGGTTCTTTGATATGCTGAATCTAAACATGTATTTAGATTTTTGATTATGGGCCCAGTTTTCAAGTTGGTCCAAATGGGGGTCCAAAATTAAACTTTGTTTGATTTCAACAAAAATTGAATATGTGGGGTTCTTTGATATGCTGAATCTAACCATGTATTTAGATTTTTGATTTTTGGGCCCCATTATCAACTTTGTCCACATTGAGGTCAAAAGATTCCAAAATTAAACTTTGTTTGATTTCATTAAAAATTGAATTCTTTGGGTTCTTTGATATGCTGAATCTAACCATGTATTTAGATTTTGGATATTGGACCATAATAGGTGAATGTCCAATTTAAAATTTTAAAGTTCTTAGACCACATTCATTCTGTGTCAGAAACCTATGCTGTGTCAAATATTTAATCACAATCCAAATTCAGAGCTGTATCAAGCTTGAATGTTGTGTCCATACTTGCCCCAACTGTTCAGGGTTCGACCTCTGCGGTCGTATCAAGCTGCGCCCTGCGGAGCCTTTTTTTTTTTCTGACTTGGGAATAGGAACAATAACATCTTACAGGATTACAGTTTTTTTTTTAGTACCCTCCTTTCTGTTCAGCTTCTGGGTTGTATAGACGTGAAGTTTCTGTTAGAGTATCTTTTGAGATTAGAGTGTGGAGTCTCTATTTGAGTATCTTTTGAGATGAGAGTGTGGAGTTTCTGTTGGAGTATCTTTAGAGATTAGAGTGTGGAGTTTCTGTTGGAGTATCTTTTGAGATTAGAGTGTGGAGTTTCTGTTTGAGTATCTTTTGAGATAAGAGTGTGGAGTTTCTGTTTGAGTATCTTTTAAGATTAGAGTGTGGAGTTTCTGTTTGAGTATCTTTTGAGATTAGAGTGTGGAGTTTCTGTTTGAGTATCTTTTGAGATTAGAGTGTGGAGTTTCTGTTTGAGTATCTTTTGAGATTAGAGAGAGTGAAAGTTAAATGTCAGTCTTTTGAAACAGGTTTTAATTCATAGTGAAAAAAGTTAAAACAGCCGCAAGCATTTTCTTTTAAATCAAAGTAAAGAGTAATTATAGAAGTTTTTCACTGATTTTTTTTTTTTAGCAACATCATTTAAATGAAAAAATGTGATGTAAAAGAAAACTACATGGCTAGAAATTGTCATTTTTATGAAATTTGCCTGAAATTGCATGCTTATAGTTAATATTGGCAAATGTTTTCTACTTTTACAGTGGGTAACAGCAAGGTCCAGGTTTCAGAAAGCCGCAGATTTGATGGATGCTGAGCATAGAATGAAGAAAACCATGTGGGGACAGTTCTGGTCAGCTCATCAGAGATTTTTCAAATATCTCTGTATATCATCAAAGGTTAATGCCTGTGTTAGGCTTGCTAGGGATGCTGTCAAAAGTGGAAAGGTATGAGCAATAATTGGGTTGTTTTATTTCCATTGGCAATGCCTTTTTACTTCATCTGGCCTTAAAGGACACATGAGCTTTTGCCATCACTTGGCATAAGTCGTCCCTTTGTCCATTGTTAAGTTTTTTAAAATCATCTCTGAAATTTCTGGACCAAATGTTACCAAACTTTACCTGAATGTTCCTTATGGAATCATGTTTAAAAATTCTATCCAGAATTTGGTCCATCAACAAACATGGCTGCTGTTGCTAAAAAAAAGAACATAGGGTTAGTTTTTAGGCTTATATCTCATTTTAAACTAAAGCAGAGGAAAACTGACAATAGGTAAAAATTATCAGCAGGTCATGATCAATTACCGCCTGAAATTTTCAGAAAAATCAGATAATCCAGATTTAGGTTAATATCTTGAAAAGTATAACAAGTTTTAAACAGTGAAAATGACCAGAACTATAAGATCTGTAAATAAGTCAGATTGGCAGAAATTGTCAATTGATCCCTTATAGGAGTTGTTGCCTTGAATGATTATTTTACAATTTTTGGGGGAAAACTTGAGTATAGAGAATCTTTCAATAGAAAATGTTTGACTAAATCAGAGCCACAATTAAGTCAGATGGACGAAATCATCAATTAACCTAATATAGGAGTTATTGCCCTTTAAAGATGAGTTTAACCCATGTTTTGCAGGAAATATAATAGATAGAAATTGTAAAGCAAAAGTGTTAAGCAAAAAAAAAACTACAAGTAATTAAAAATGGCAAAAATCATCAATGGAACCCATATAGGAATTATTGCCCTTGAAAGATGATTTTATCCATTTTTGCAGAAGCCATAATTGATAGAGAGCAACAAAATATTGCAAAAATATTCAGCAGAACTAAAGTCTTCAAATAGGTCATCCTAACTGAAATCCTCAATTGACCCCTAATAGGAGTTACTCCCCATGATAGATGATTTTTACCATTTATGCAGAAAACATTAGTGATAGTAACTGTAAATAGCAAAAATGTTCAGGCCCTTGAAGGTCTATTTTTACCCATTTTTATATGCCCGTTTACGGGACATAGTAACTGTAAATAGCAAAAATGTTCAGGCCCTTGAAGGACTATTTTTACCCATTTTTATATGCCCCTTTACGGGACATATTATGGTATACCTCTGTCCGTCCTTCAACATGTTGGACAATAGCTCAAAAACACTTAAAACAGTCTTCATTAAACTTTGGTGAATTGTTTATGTCTATTGACGTAAGGGCCCTTTCATTTTTTATAAATTTTAGATTTTACGTTTCTGAGTTATTGGATTTTATTTATAAAAAAAGGGGGGGTTTTCCAGTATTCGGACAATAACTCAAAAAATGCTCTAAGCTGTTTTCATGAAACTTTGGTGACTGGTTTATATCTATTAAAATAAGCTCTCTTTAGTTTTTTTATAAATTTCAGATATGCCATTGAGGAGTTATTGAACTGTATTCGATGAAAGATCAACTGGCATATCATGAGCTCTTGGTGTATCATGCGCTCATGGCGCAGCTCTTTATTGTGTTTGTTGCAGAAACTATAATAGATTCAGAGATATAACAAACAGCATAAGAGTTCAGCACATTAACCTGAAAAAATTTTCAACATGTCAGAAATTGTTATCCAACTCCTTATAGGACATATTTCCCCTGAATTATGATTTTTACCTGTTTTGCATTTTTGTCAAAAATTATAGTAGAGATAGAGAGAAAATGTAAAATGCCTTAAGCTAGCTTGGGTGTCTTCGTCTATCTTGGATTGCAAAATAGCAGAAAAGGATTGTTCTAGATCTTTAATGAAATGTGTAAATTTTAAGAGTAGAATGTAATTCATTTGCAAGACTTTTCATATTAATACAGAAAATTATGTGTTTTATCATATTTTTATGGCTGTATAACTAAATCTTTTTTGTTTGATTCGATTTTTTTTTCAACTTTGCCATATAAGGGGAGATAATTTAGATAAAGTAACTTTTATAAAGGAATGTGTTTATAAGAAATTACCTATTTTATTGTGTAGCAAGATTACTAGTCCTGTGACCCCAACTATTCTTTTTCTTTTCTGAAAGCAAATTATGAGAGCTATCTTCTCATATTTTACCTTACAATTCTATAATTAGTCCCCTACCCACGAAGTCGAAGGGGACTTTAGGTTTGCACTCCATCCGTCTGTCTGTCTGTCCATCCGTCAGTCTGGCAAATCAGTTTTCCACACTTTTTTTCTTCATGCTTGAAGATATTGATTTGATATTTGGTATATAGTTTTATCATGACAAGTTACAGTCAAGTTTGAATTTTGGTCCTGTCTAATGATTTTGTGCAGAGTTATCATGGTCCTTGGACTTCGAAAATTCACTCAAATAATCAGTTTTCCTCACTTTTTTTCATCATGCTTGAAGATATTGATTTGTTAATTGTTAAATAGTTTAAACATGACAAGTTAAAGATCAAGTTCGAATTTTGTTTCAATCTGATGATTTGGTGCAGAGTTATGGTCCTTGGACTTTGAAAATTCACTCAAATAATTAATTTTCCACATTTTTTTTCCGTCATGCTTGAAGATATTGACTTGATATTTGTTATATAGTTTACACCATGACAAGTTATAGATCAAGTTAGCATTTTGTTCCAGCACAATGAATTATTAACTGGTAGGGGACTGTATTGCCAAGCAATACTCACAGAATGCTTGTTTAATTTCTTTTTATCACACAAAATCGGGTTTTCCATACATAATCTATACAAAATCTGACAATTTTGCAAGACCTGTAGCATGAAAAAAAGGCCTGTGACCCATGCTTTGAATTATATATCTCGAAAAAGCATAATATAAATTACATTTTGGCAAATAATAAAAAAAATTCTATCAATTTTAATATAGACCCTCAATCTACCTTACATGATGAAACTATTAATTTCTATAATTTTGCCAATTATCTCGAAAACCTTAATAGATCAGTATAAACTATAAACAGTTGAAAGAAACTTACATACAAGATTGACGAAAATGTCACCTAATAATATTTACAAATATAAAGCAAACATAACTGATTGCAATAATAATTTAAATTAATATCAAAAGCAACCAACAATCAATCAAAATGGCACATTTTTACAAGGTGAGCGAGTTAGGCTCTTGGGAGACTTGTTTTTTATGCCCCACCTATGGGCATTATGTTTTTCGGTCTCTGCATCCATTCGTTCGTCCGTCTGTCCCACTTCAGGTTAAGGTTTTTGGTCAAGGAAGTTTTTGATGAAGTTGAAGTCCAATCAACTTGAAACTTAGTGCACATGTTCCGTGTGATATGATCTTTCTAATTTTAATGCCAAATTAGAGTTTTGACCCCAATTTCATGGTCCACTGAACATCGAAAATGATATTGCGAGTGGGGCATCCGTGTACTAGGGACACATTCTTGTTTTTAATAATATCAATAAAAAGAGCTCGTCTATTTTTTTTTATCTGATTATAGTTAGACACTACATAACTACAGAGGAATTTGACTTCACCTTCCATGAGTGCCATACATGTTTTAAAAAGAAACTATTTTTTAAATAAGAGTGTCACTGAAAAAGTCATAAAAATAGTTATAAACCAGAATGAAGTTGCTTATATATGTTACATGTGAAAAGAGAAAAGTTTAAAACTAAATTTGTGTGGGATGATATGTTAATTATGTATGTTAAGTTTTCAGAAATTCTTGTGTCTTTTCAGTGTGTTGTAATAGGTCTTCAGTCAACAGGAGAAGCCAGAACTCTGGAACAGCTGGAAGAGATGGGTGGAGAATTGAATGACTTTGTATCAACTGCAAAGTAAGCATAATTTGTATGCCCTGTCTACAATAGGAGAGGTCCAATTATGTTTTCTGGTCTCTGCTTCCATCAGTATCAGATTAAAGTTTTGGTTTAGGATAGTTTGTGGTCACATCAGCTTGAATCTATGAAGTGAACGGTTTAATATATATGCAAAATGAAAGGTTTCAACAAAGATTTCTCAGTTCACTGAAATTGAAATAAGATAGTGCAAGTAGGGCATTGTGTCCTATAAATGCACATTCTTGTTTTTCTATAAAAAGTAAAAAAGAAAAAAATACTGAACTCCAAGGAAAATTCAAAACGGAAAGTCCTTTATCAAATGGCAAAATCAAAAGCTCAAACACATCAAACAAATGGAAAACAACTGTCATATTCCTGACTTGGTAAAGACATTTCCTTATGTAGAAAATATAAATTTGTACTGTTTGAATGTAGTAATATTAAAGCACTCCATTACATTATTTTAAAAAGTCTTAAAACTGAATGTTGTTTATATTCATATTTATTTGCCTGGGTTTTGGCAATTCTGTTTTTCTTTAACAAAGCAAATAATTTTGATTTATAAAACTGATTGAGATAATACCCAAGTATTGCAACTGACATTTTCTTGTACTCCTACTTTGAAGAAGATGGCTGATAATACTTTAATTATTTGCTTACATACATGTGCAAATGACTTAAAGATTCAAATTGTCTTCATGATTCTGTCTGCGTTTGTATGATTTTTAGAGAGAATTGCTAAAGAAATCAAGATACACATATAATGTTATTTATTTTGTAGGGGAGTGTTCCAGACATTAGTAGACAAACATTTCCCTGCACCTGATAGAAAGAAAACATTTGATCTATTTGGAGACCGATTCTCAAGTTATAAAGATAAGAAAGAAACACCTGCTGCTGCTAAAAATAATAAAAATAATAAAAGGAAAAATGGTAATTCATGTTAATTTAATCAGGGGAGGGGGAAATGAGAACTGAAACTGAAGTTGATTCTAGAAAAATTCATATTTCCTGAGGAATATGTACAAATTACATAAACTTCTTCATAATCAAGAAACAGCATCCATAACCAAACTTTGAAATGCTTATTTTAAACATTTTTGTATTTTACTGAAAAATGGACTTGGTTTTAGGTTTTTTAATGCTGCTAGTTTTAAAATTGATAGTTTTATCAAACCTTCATTGGATTTCAGGAATATTTGACAGGTGTTTTCTTGGTCAAAAGATAGTACAAATAGATTGTTTAATTGGTGTTTAACGCCACTTTCAACACTATTGTGCTATTTCGTGGCGGTCAGTTTTTATTGGTGGAGGAAGCCGGAAGCCAGAGAGAACCACGACCTTCAGTAGGAAAACTGACAATCCTAGTCAATTAAGATTGGAGTTGAGTGCACTTGCCCAGCGCAGGATTCAAACTCACAACCTCAGTGTTGACTTGTTAGTGATACAGTAGTTGGACTACTTAGACCACTCGGCCACCGAGGTCCATTAGTACAAATAGATGGACATAATAAAAATTTTGAAAAAAAAAGAATAAAACAATCTGTATTTCATTGATAATGGATTTCAATTTTGGCGAAAGATAAAAGATAAATATTAAGAATTACTATTGAGCACATTCTATAACAACACTGACAATAGCAACCGCAGGCAATTATTACACAATTTTTTTAATTTTTTTTTTTCTATATGTCATAGACTTTTTTTTTTTTTTTTCGGTATTATGATTCGTGGTTTTAATTTACTAAAAAAGCACCTGAACAATAACTTTTTTGTAGGTGATACTTCAAGTAAAAAGTCTAAGAAGGCCAAGGTTGATTCTTCAGACACCAGCAGTGGTTCTGATTCATCTGATTCAGATATGAGTGATATAGATCTTGGTCTTGGCAGTGCCTCTAGTTCAGACAACAGTGATGTCGATAACTTTAATCCATTTGGAGGTTCTGACAGTGATGATGATAGTATGTATTGTAGAAATAAAGTGGTAGTTTTCCATTAAAATAAAGTACAGGGGTTCTGAAAATGCATGCAAACTTTTGACAAAAATATGTATTGCACTATGTGCTGTATGCATTGTTTTCGTTACACTTAAACAACTTGGAAAAATTCCATTGAAAATACATAGAAATGTTAAATAGTGCTGATTTCTTTTATGAATATACTATTTGTTTACCATATCATCAATCAAATGGATGAGCTATTTTAAATTCCACCCCCCTAAAAAAAAATCTTGAACCACCCTAAGGTGATGGACACAGAGCAGGGGATATTGCTGTAGATGTTTGAACCAAGTTGAGTAAATGTAAAAGTGAAAAAAAAATTTTAAAATGCTGTTTGAACATTTTAGAGCTGGATTCAAGACAAAATGTATTTTAATGTTCATTAACCTTTTGTTTTTAAAGATCCTTGGGTGAAGAAAAAGAAAGGCAAATCAAAAACCAAAAGTAGCAAAGTGAATAAGAAAAAGAAAAAAGATCTGGATTTTGATGAAGAATTTGACAAAGCTCTAGCTGCAGCTGGGCTGCTGAAGAAAGCAAATCCTGCTGCTGAAAAACCATCATCCTCATCTAATGGTAACCATGATGATAATAGTACTAATGGTAATCTTTATAGTAAGTATAACAAAATCTTTATCTTGTTTAATCTTTATTTACATATTTCAAATAGGATGATGTTTTATCTATCAATAGAAAGTAAAAAGTAGTAAGTTTAGGTAATAGCCAACATGTGCAATTGGATTTTTCTAGGTCTGTTTGATTTCATATGTTTTTCAACCAAATGGTTTACCCTTGTTTCATTTTCAATGTTTACATTCTTTTCCTTTTAATAGATGAACACGCCTAGATTATGTGTAACCCATCTCTCTATAAGAGGTTAAATAGAAGGTCACATGAATATGGTTTCCATGAGGTCAAGTTTACATAAATTTAGGTTCAAAATGTATAATAGTGCATGAATATAACATTCATTTCCTTTACCTGTTCTGGTATTTCAAGATATAATTTGGTTGAAATGCACTAGAAAATTAACAGTTATGAGGAGCTTACTCTCAAAAGTTATCTAGAGATTTTACAAATTACCAGAAACGCAGAAACAAAGGACCTACCATTTCTAACTCAGGATGAGGGTAACTTCAAAATAGGATGGTTAGTTTGGTGGGGTTTTTTCTGCCATGTTTTGATATTCTCCTATATTACCTGATTCCTACAAAGACTTGCACTTAATTATTTGCCTTTTGATTTATAGGCATGGATTCAGTAGAACAAGCAATAGCACTTAAGAGAGAGTTGATGGATATGCTGGAGGAGTTGGAAGATCTACCTCCTAACACATTGGATCATCTCATTGATGAATTAGGGGGACCAGACAATGTTGCAGAGGTATGGATTATTCCATTTTGACAACAGCTTTTGCTGCTGATGACTTCACTGTTATGTTAAGCTTTTAAATTGAAACAGATTACTTTAAAAATAAGAAACATATAAGAGACAAACAAGATATAATAAGGCCTGTTTCAAAAATGAACGCTCTAGTAAGGGAACTTGGAGGCACTTAAGCAGATCTAGATCTGCAATTTTCTTCAATTCAAAAATATACTACTTCCCTTTCATGTTTTGATTGTTTCAGGAATAGATCATACTGATTGTATACTACTCTGTACAGATGGAGGATGATCATCAGTTGAGATCATACTGATTGTATACTACTCTGTAGAGATGGAGGATCAGCTGAGATCATACTGATTATATATTTCTCTGTACAGATGGAGGATGATCATCAGTTGAGATCATACTGATTATATACTTCTCTGTACAGATGGAGGATGATCATCAGCTGAGATCTCTGAAAAAAATAAAAATGTTTCTGTGTACTAAGTCTAGGATTTAAATCATGACAGAATGTGATTTCATCGTCAATTTTTTTAGTATTGTAAATTTCTGGCAAATGTTTGGAAGTTAAACTTAGAAAAATGTTTATCTGTTTATAGATGACAGGACGTAAAGGTCGTGTTGTTAGTACTGAGGAAGGAATAAGCTATGAATCTCGTAGTGAAATGGATGTTCCATTGGAAATTCTTAATCTCACAGAAAAACAAAGATTCATGGATGGAGAAAAGGTATTATAATTGTTAAAACATAAGTTAAACAATCATATATATTTAGTTAGTTGCAAATGTGCTTTAAATACTTTTTTTTATACGACCGCAACAAATTTTTTGGGATCGTATAATGGTATGATGTCGTCGTCGTCGTCCGAAGACACATTGGTTTCCAGACAATAACTTTAGTTTAAGTTAATGGATCTCTCTGAAATTTTTTAAGAAGGTTTAATACCACAAAAGGGAGGTTGGGATTGATTTTGGGGATGATGGTTCAAACCGTTTAGGAATTAGGGGCCCAAAAGGGGCCCAAAACAAGCATTTTTCTAGTTTCAGGATAATAACTTGTGTATAAGTATTTCAATTGCTCTGAAATTGTACCACAATGTTTAATACCACAAGTAGAAGGTTAGGATTCATTTTAGGGGTTAAGGGGCCAACAGTTTAGGAATTAAGGGCCAAAAAGGGGCCAAAAACAAGCATTTTTCTAGTTTCCAGACAATAACTTGTGTGTAAGTGTATGGATCTCTCTGACATTGTACCACAAGGTTCCATATAACAAAGGGAAGGCTGTGATTGAGTTTGGGGTTAATTGCCCTAAACATGTAGGAATAGGGGCCAAAAAAGGGCCAAAAACAAGCGTTTTTCTAGTTTCCAGACAATAACTTGTGTTTAAGTGTATGGATCTCTCTGAAATTGTACTACAATGTTCCATACTACGAAAGGAAAGGATGGGATTGAGTTTTGGGGTTATTGCTCCAAGGGGGTTTCAAAAAATGGGGGGGGGGGGGGAGGGGATTTTTTTTCCAATTTTTTTAAGGGATTCATATTTTTTTTTCAAAATTTTTCAAGAAAAAATCTTCAATGGACAGTATTGCGCAATATATTTGTAAGATCTTTGACCACATTTATTTTGTGTCAGAAACCTATATTATGTCAAAAATTTGATCACAATCCAAATTCAGACAGTATCAAGCTTGAATATTGTGTCCAAATTTGCCCCAACTGTTCAGGGTTCGACCTCTGCGGTCGTATCAGGCTGTTCTCAGCGAAGCATTTTATATTTATTTTTTTAGAAATTTATACACACGCAAGCTTTTTTTTTCTAGGACATAGCTATAATATCTGAGGCAGCCAGTTCAGGTATCTCCCTTCAGTCAGACAAACGTGCAATTAATAGAAAACGACGTGTACATATCACATTGGAGCTTCCGTGGAGTGCTGACCGAGCTATTCAGCAGTTTGGTATGTATAACTAGGTCATTATTTAGGTCAGGATAATTACAAATCAACTTGATTGAGCTTGTGTAAATCTTTATAAAAAAAAAAGTGAATAATTTCAAGTTTTGAAAATATTGTTTTGTTTATTGAATGTATTTACAATTTACATATTCCATATTGGATTTTTATGCCCCACCTACGATAGTAGAGGGGCATTATGTTTTTTGGTCTGTGCATCTGTTCGTTCGTCTATCCATCCGTCTGTCCTGCTTCAGGTTAAAGTTTTTTGCCAAGGTAGTTTTTGCTGAAGTTGAAGTCCAATCAACTTGAAACTTAGTACACATGTTCCCTATGATATGATCTTTCTAATTTTAATGCCAAATTAGAGTTTTGACCCCCAATTTCACGGTCCACTGAACATAGAAAATGATAGTGCAAGTGGGGCATCCGTGTACTATGGACACATTCTTCTTGTTAGATTTATTTCAAATCATTAAATAAATGACTGCCATAAGATTTGATACTATTTTGTATATAGTGTTGTCACTTAGTAAACTGACAATGTACATTGTAGGCAGAACACATAGATCAAACCAAGTTACAGCCCCTGAATATGCATTCCTGATATCTGAATTAGCTGGAGAACAAAGATTTGCATCTACTGTTGCTAAAAGGCTGGAAAGTCTAGTAAGTCATACTTCAATGCTGCAATTGTTTTAAGGTTGCACTTTGTAAATACAGCTGTTTCACAAGCCATGCCTCTATTGGGGAGATATATAATATTCATAGATATTTTGTTTTGTTTACCTACTGGTTCCCGGATATGATCTCTATGTTTCATCTCGTAGAGACATAACTTGGGAATGTTATCAGTATAAATACACATGGATAGTGGCTAAATAGAATTCTGATGAAGACCCAAAGTGAAGGGAGGGGTAGTACAGAATTTTAGTATAAGTTCAAACTCTTAGAAGTTCGAGGCATATAAATGTTGAAAATATGCCGCACAGCCCTATATTTTGACCTTTGAAAAAAATAGTAGTGCATATGAACTTTCCATTCTAGGATATAATTTTTTACGAAACTTCATAGTAAAAGTGGCACAGTTTTAGCTGTAAAAGGAGTTCCTATGGGAAATTGCATCTTCTATATTTACAGAAGTGCAACCTATAAGATGGGCAATTTGAAAAGCTGAATTTTTGTTTTATATAAGTTTAATTATCACCAGAAAATATCGATTATTCTAACAATACTTAAATGAATGAATTCTAACATAATTGCACTTCCCTCGGTTATAATGTGAAATTATTGCAATTAATTTGCTCCTAAAATTAATCTTTTAAGATTACCGTAGAAAGGCTTGTATAGTTCGCACTGGTACATAGTCCGCACCCCCTTCTCCCCATGAAATTTTAGGTAAAAAAACTTTTTGTAACTGTTGGAAAAGGTCTAATGAAACTCCGGTAATTTCAAATCCTGTGCGGTCGTTTGCGGTATTTTCTTGGAAAAACCTGTTTTCCATCATCAAACAGAAGCTGAAACTGCTTGTAAATGATTCTAGAACGCTTCATGATTGTTAAAATAAGTTTAATTCACTTAAAAAACAATTTAGAAACTTGTGTATGTTTAAACAGGAAGTTTAAAAAGCACGTGTAAAAGAAGAAATTAACCGGTGAGAGTCGAAATCCGTACATAACAGATATCACTATAATACGACTTTGAAAGTAAAACAGTTCCATCCTTTTGTAAAAAAGTCTTTAATATATCTATCACATTAATGTTTGAAGGGTCTTAAGCTAATACAAACCATATTAGTCAGTATGAAACACCAAAACGGAACGAAAAATAACCAATTACGTTTTGTAGTTTACAAATTCTAAGCTGGTTTATGGTTGTCTTTTTCACTATGTTTGTATCGTTTCAATCAAGCAGATACCAGTTTATTTCAACCAATGCATTGAAAAGAAACGAGAAATTTGTAATGAAAGGTTTAGTTTTTATATTTATCAGTATTAATTTGATATTGAATAGAAATAACTTATTAATATGGGTGAGTTAAAATTATTAGTTTGAAAAATGATAAGAGCGCCCTCTACAATATAAATAACAAAGATGGCGGAACGTAAACAAACCACCTCGCCCGCGAAATTGAAATTTTTCTCTTATTTCTTGCTTATTGTACTCTATAGTCCGCACCCCGTCTGGAAGGTCCAATTTTTGAGAATAAAACCGCGGACTATACAAGCCTTTCTACGGTACTATCATAATGGTGTTTGTCTTTGATACTTTTATATTTGTTCCATTTAAGGTCACATGTCAAAAGAATAGTTATTTCATAAACTGAATTAAACTGATTGAATAATGAATTCTATAATAGTAAAATTAAGATACATGATTGATTCAATGTGCAAAAATTTGTTGAAGTGGTGAAAACCACCCAAAATATCCTGATTTAGGATGTATAGGAATTTTCTTTAGATGGAAAATTTATGGAATTCACTAAAACTTTTTTTTTAAAGAAAATGGTTAACTCAAATTAATGACTTCAAATTTTCTTACATGTTGGCAATGGTATGTGAGCTTTTAACAAATACTCGAATTGTTTTCAGGGTGCTCTTACTCATGGCGACAGACGAGCAACAGAATCAAGAGATCTCAGCAGATTTAATTTTGATAACAAGGTGAGCATTCTAAACCTGTTACCAAATTTCCAGTATTCCTGCTTGATGATGACAATTTAACTCCTTAAATGGTAGTAAAGTTAATGTTTTCAAGAAGGTCCACCTACCAAACACACAATCCTAAATCTATTATATTTTGTTACACACAGATTATCTATAATATTTGGGTGAGAATACAATAGAATATAGACTGAGTGAAAATATGTCAAGAATAGGTAATTTGAAACTGCAATCTTATCACCATATTGATTTGAAAAAAAGTTTTGCAGTAAAAGAATTTTGAAAAGTTGAGGATGTTTGCTACTCTATTTCAGAATAGCAAGCTTTTTAAAAGACTGTTATAAATTGATAGTATATGAATGAAGGAACTAAAAAAGCAGAAAAAAATTATGGGTCTGTGTGCTTGTTTTCGTGATATAAGCCTTTGAAAATTTGGCAGGAAATGATTCTCTCTAGATTTTTCATACATTTAACATTGACACCTTTTTTCTTTCAAAAACAATGAAAAAATAATAAGGATTTTATAAGATTTTCAAATATGGTTTTTAAAACTATATGTAATAAAATTATGAAAAGAAAAGTAGGGGTTAGTGGACAAAATTATTTAATGGCCAAGCATGGATAAGACTAAGAGGATTCCGAAAATCTGGCAAAAATTCAAAACAAGAGGAGCGAACATCCTTAACTTAAACATTATATTGAATGAGAACTTTTGACATTACAGTATGGAAGAACAGCGCTTGAGAGTGTTATGAAATCATGTATGGGATTTGAATCACCATTAGTGCCGTTCCCCAAAGATTTTGAAGGAAATTTCTGTGATGGTAGGTTGTATTCATATTTCTATCAAAACTAATGCCTTGAAAAACTAGATACACACACAAATTTCTCTAACTGTTTAATATAAAAATAATCAGTTGTGGTATGATTGCTAATGAGACAACTATCCACCAGAGACCAAAGGAAAAAGATGGGAACATATACATTTCTGGGAATTAATGTGAAGGTTGAGGTGTACCAGGGATAGACTGTGAGTTTCCACCTTCAATCATGATCGAAAATGCAATATTATCACAAAATATTTTTGTTTTAAACATGAATCCAGGAATATCTTCCGACATACTGAAAAATCTGAGAGCTAGAGTTATTTATCTTACAAATAATGATCACCAGAAATAATATTCAAACTTAAATTCTGCAAAAATAGGTTTCCCTAAAGATGATGATGGATGGCTGTTTAACGTCCAGCTGTAAGTTAAATGCATATTCAGGACCAGAACATGTTAGACTCATGTTAATAGGATATGAAATTTGAACCTGGTTTGCACTAGACCAACACACTGGGCCAGATTTTTAATGTGGTAGTTCACTAGGTAACTTGGAAGGAAGAAGGAAGACATGCCATCCTACTGAACACATTATTCTGACTCTGGGTGACTTTGCTCTTACTCCTAAATGTCACGTGCATAGTGGAGAAGCAGCAAATACCAATTCAAGTCTTTGGTTTGACCCGGGGGAGGGGTGGAAGAAACCAGAACTCTATTTCTATGTCATCATTATACACTTATGTACAAAAAATCAGTTCATCATCAACACTCATTACAAAAAAAGTTCTGACAAGTTTCATGTCTAACATGGTAGGAACTTCATCTTTTCTGACCTCTGAGGGGAACTTGAATATAAAACCCAAATGTCAAGGCTTGAAAAATGATTAAAAAGAACATGGAAACTTTATGGATTTTTGAGTGGAACTCGGGTAAATGGTGAGCCAGAAAGGTCACATGTGATGTCACTCTGTGGTCATGAAATTTATGCATTTGACCTATAGTTTATAGTCAATATATATATACGAGGCTATTGAGCAAGAGCTTTACCCAAAAAGATATTTTACACACATCTTCTTTGTAAAATACATTTTGTAGCAACTTATCATATCTGAATACCTCACAATGAGGCTATTTTCACAGTTTTTGAAGTTTTGCACTAAATGTAAGAAGTTTGAAACCCTAATGCCAATATATAAGAAAAAACTTGAAAATGTAAATACTTATGTCCAACAAAATAATGTCTAATGAACATCTAAAGGATGTTATTACAATGTAGGTAGACTTATAATACTTCTTTTATTTATTCCAATGCAAAGGGCCAAAACATTGGCATTATCATACCTTCTTTAAGGTAAAGGCACTTAAATTAAGCTGTATCATCTCAATCATCATAACATCTTGCAATCAGTAGCAAAAGTTCTTAAATTAAATTGTAATGAACAGTTGTACCAAAAAATTGGTATTCATACATGTACTACTAGGGGGTGTTTAACGACCTTGACTACCCATGAGGGTCTCACACAGTCAGGCATCAATGGGTATTCATGAATAGTTTATGCTTTAAAGTAATAATTTTGTTTGTAGAAGTAAGAAGAGGACTGGTTGGTGTTGGTCTGGTATCTGTGGACTCTCGAATTACTGTACCAATTCTTGATAAAGGTATGATAGCTTCAGATAGAACTTAAGTTGGTGTAGAGGTCTAAAATTAGTGCTAATCATTTATTTTTAAAGGAGCTATGTCCCTTGAAATAGAAATTATATGAAAGATAACATAAATAGTGCCTCACGCTTACATTTCTTGTAGGAAATTTTTTTTAAAGGTAAAAAAAAATATGTAATTGACCTTTGAAAGATCAAATATATGCACCACACAGGACATTGGAACACTGTTCTTTTATTAATCTGTAACCCTTTGAAAAAGGCTCAACAGAATTCAACTAAACTAATGAAGATTCTTCTGTGGGATATGAAAGTTGTGCACTTGCTATTGTTATTTTTTGTTTTCCAATTCCAAAAAAATGGACTGTGTCCTTTCCCCCTATATAATTTGAAGACTATAAAAAAACACACTTTTTCTGAAATTCAGCTGATTTGGGTGAACATTTAAAAGGCATTACTAAAATGTACTAGATAAAATCTCCAAAAACAGGAGAAATTCAGGTAAACATGGAAGTTTCAAGGCAAGATGTTACCAAAGACCAAGCTTTTCATAATTGTCATTTCCTTCTTTACATAACATTTCAGCATGATGATGTAGGATTTTTAACATGAACTTGTAACAATGGAATTATACATACTGAAGTATACATCCAATAAGTACAATATTCAAAGATGTAGCTGTAGATAAATTTATACAGTTGAACCTGGTCTTATGGGCACCTGCTTGTTATTGGCAGTCATGGAAACACACACACACACTTTCTTATAGCGGGTACTGGGTACAATTTTCATTGGCAAAATGGATGGAAAACCTGTCAAAAACAGGCATTTCAAGAAAATGTCAAAACAAATAATTCTCGGAAATTCTCAGACTTTATCCTATAGGTTATAACCCATTTTGAATATCCTGATTCATTCATAATTTAATCAAACTACCAAAGATCTTGAAACTAACACCAAGGATATTGTTTTATTTGACTAGTTTTTTGTCTCGCCTTGACAGAGTCAAAAAGTCAGACATAGGTATGCTGTTTCCAGTGGCGGCGTCATCAACAATGTATTAGTTTGTGATTAGGTCAAAGTTTATGGTGAACCACCAGTGGTAGGTCAATGATATTTGGTATGCAGTTGTATAAGCATTGGCATATCTCATTTACATGGAGATTATTTGGCCCCGCCCCCTCAGTCATGGTATATTGACTTTGAAACTTTTGCTTTATAGTTTACATGTATTAGTTTGTGATTAGGTCAGATTAAGGGGGACCGTTAATTGTAGGCCAATGTTAATTGGTTTGTAGTTGTATAAGCATTAGCACATCTCAATTCCATGGAAAATATTTGGACCCACCCCCTCACTCATGGTCTATTGACTTTGAAATTTTTGCTTAGTTTACATATGTATTAGCTTGTGAAAGGTCAGTTTAAGATGAACCACTTATGTTAAGTCAAAGATATTTTGTATGCAAATGTATTGGCATTTGCAAGTTTCATTTCCATGGAGATTATATAACCCCACTCCCTCAATATGGTTCATTGACTTTGAAACTTTTACATAGTTTACAAGTTAATGTTTGTGTTTAGGTTTGTTTAAAGGGAACGACTTATGAAAAATCAATGGTATTTGGTATGCAGTTGTATTAGCATTGGCACATCTCATTTCTATGGAGATTGTTTAGCCCTGTACCTTCAGTCATGGTTCATTGACTTTGAATATTTGCATAACTTACATGTTAAAGTATTGCTATTTTAATTTCAACATTTGCATTATCAAAATAACAAATAGGCGAGACATATCTCTGTGTTAACAGTTTATTTTAAATTTCAGATTATAATAATATCAGCAAGTTCCTGAACAGAATCCTTGGTATGGAAGTTTGTCTACAGAATTCTCTGTTCAAATTCTTCTCCAACACACTTATGGCAATCATCCTGGATGCTAAGAGGAGTGGAAGATGGGATATGGGTATTTTAGGTAAGATTTTCCACTATAGATATGATAAAACTATTATTAAGATGCAAACATTATTTTTCCTTTTAGTCGAAAAAAAATGGTGGCATGAAGCAGTTGCAAAAAAAGAATATGTTGGAAGTAAGAAGGAAATATTTATATAAAAAAGTTTCTTAAACTTTCTTTATAGCTTTTTTTAGTGATGTTCATATATAATGGATTTGGAAGGATGGAAGTAAATGTTACAGTTAAAATGTTTAACAATACTTTTTCTTGGTTTGATATTTTCAACCAATATTGCACATCAGTTTCAATGAAGATTTCATGACTGTTTTAATGTACTAGTTTTGTTCATCCAGTAAATTATAGAAAATGTTGACACTTCAGATAATTTTGTTTCATTCTAAAGGGTTTTCTTTAGTACATTGACAGGATGAGTTAGTGTAGTTAAGATGTCAATTTAAACTCTTGGAAGCCAAACTTGTCAGCTGACAATGCAAACTTGTCGCCATATTTGGGTTTAAGAATCTATAAATAAATCAAATAACAATATAAACTTATGATTGATTGTTGTTTGTCTAACATCCTTTGGCATATATTTCATGCATATTCAGGGCTTATATTTTATGCATATTCATGGCATATATTTCATGCATATTCAGGACATATATTTCATGCATATTCAGGGCATATATTTCATGCATATTCAGGGCTTATATTTTATGCATTTTCAGGGCATATATTTCATGCATATTCAGGACATATATTTTATGCATATTCAGGGCATATATTTCATGCATATTCAGGACATATATATTATGTATATTCAGGGTATATATTTCATGCATATTCAGGACATATATTTCATGCATATTCAGGGCATATATTTCATGCATATTCAGGACAATAACAAATTTACAATAAATTCAATAGGTTGTTTTGTAAAGTTGGTCAACTGTTGTGAAGGGCAGGAAGTTTAGACTGTCACTGAAATAAAGGATAAGTTGAATAAGGGCAGACATTTTTATCTTCAACACACCACCTACAACACACCACCTACAACACACCACCTACAAACCCTTACAGAGTTGTTTGCATAGATTTTATGCCCCTGCCATAGGTTACGGGGGCATTAAATGTTATCCTTGATCGTCTGGCTTTCTGTCCGTCCGTAACATTTTTTTTCAAAGCTTGAGCGAGGGCATTCGTGTCCTCAGACACATTCTTCTTTTATTTGTCATGCAGAGAAAGTAGCACTCTCCCTAAAACAAAAAAATTTGGATAACGTCTCAATTCTCAACAGAAGTATTTTCAATTCGATGTAAATTTGGTGGGTGTAATATTTTACTACGGTTGGTCAACCATTAAATTTTGTACTATAAATACATTTTAAAACTGGTCAAAAGTAAATAAGTCATATATACCACTATCAATAAAATTCATGAAAAATGAAAGTCCAGAAATAATCATCAATCCACAGAATGAGAGAATCCTAGCCTGAAAGCAATGAAATATTTGTAGCTTAAAACTTGTAACTTTTCTCTGTAGATCTGGGTGCTGGTGAAGAAAAAGTTTCCAAGAAAGAAACAAAGACATTTGTTGGTAATGCGGCTTTGAATACAGCTAAAACTGAATTAAACACAGTAAGTATCATTAGGGCAGTTCCTTAAAAACTTACATGGGACCCAGGGAAGGCACTTTGAAATCGCAACTAGAGGTGGGTTTTAAAATTATTTTGACATTGGAAATGTAAAGAGAAATTTGAAATTGCCTCTATAGTTGGTTACTCCATTTTTGAAATGCCTTCCCTGGGTACCATGTATGTTTTTATGGACATTTAAATATAAAGAAACTTTTCAGTGAAGGAAGGTTAAAGAAGTCCCTTTATTTATACTTGTTTTATAGGATGTCGTGGTAATAGTAACTGTATATAAATGCACTAGTAAACAAAAGGATAAGAGTGATTATCTATTAACCATTGGATAGAATGTTTTCCTGTGACATTTACCTTTCCGAGTAACTTAGTTCAGGCAATACAAATCCAACTCAGTGTATTGGGTATTGTACCAGTCCGATAACATGTTATTGCCTTGTGTTCCCATTCAAGTATAAACATATATATTTTATTTTACTAGGTTACAGTAGAAAGAGGAATGTCATGGACTCAAGTCCTGAACTTGTATAGGAAATATTCTGGTGAAGAAGATGGCTTCTATGTGTCTGCTAATGTAAGTTGTTTTGTCCTAAGATGGGAAAAAAAGTATACAAAATGTGGTAATGGCTAAGGCAATTTGACATCTAAATATCGGACTTTCAACCATTAAGCTAATATCTGATTATGTCAAGTTGTCTGTTATTTCCAGATGAAATCACAAATATAGAAATAAGAAGATGTGGTATGATTGTCAATTAGACAACTCTCTACCAGAGATCAGATGACAAATGACAAAAAAACATCATTGGATTAATGTTGTTCATTTTTTGAGTGATCTCTTGTATGGGATATGTTTATTGTCCCCTCGCGACAAGTTGCGGGGGACATAAAAATACCGGGCATCCAACTGGTCTTGTTAGCGCCCTCATGTGTACAATTCTTGCAAGATTTTTATGAAACTAATATCAGCAATGTCTCTGACAATTACGAAAATAAGTGCTGATCAGATATCTTGAACAAGTTATGCCCCTTGAAAATATTAATTATATCAGAAAATTGCATTTGCTCTCAAGCCCTCATTTCTGTAAGATATTTAAAAAAAGTTTTTATACGACCGCAATTTTGCGGTCGTATATTGGTATGACGTTGGCGTCGGCGTCGTCCGAAGACACATTGGTTTTCGCACTCTAACTTTAGTTTAAGTCAATGGATCTCTATGAAATTTTACCATAAGGTTTAATACCACAAAAGGAAGGTTGGGATTGATTTTGGGGGTTATGGTACCAATAGTTAAGGAATTAGGGGCCAAAAATAAGCATTTTTGTAACTTCCAGACACAACTTGTGTGTTAGTGTATGGATCTCTCTGACATTGTACCACAAGGTTCCATATCACACAGGGAATGCTGGGATTGATTTTGGGGGTAATTGCCTCGAAATATTAGGAATTAGGGGCAAAAAAAGGGGCAAAAAACAAGCATTTTTCTAGTTTCATGACAATAACTTGTGTGTAAGTGTATGAATCTTTCTGAAATTGTACTACAAGGTTCCATATCACAAAGGGAAAGCTGGAATTGAGTTTGGGGGTAATTGCCCAAAACGTTTAGGAATAAGGGGCCAAAAATAAGCATTTTTTCTAGTTTCCAGACAATAACTTGTTTTCAAGTGTATGGATCTCTTTGAAATTGTACCACAAGGTTCCATATCACACAGGGAATGCTGGGATTAATTTTGGGGGTAATTGCCTCAAAATAGTAGGAATTAGGGGCCAAAAAAGGGGCAAAAAACAAGCATTTTTCTAGTTTCATGATAATAACTGGTGTGTAAGTGTATGGATCTTTATGAAATTGTACTACAAGGTTCCATATCACAAAGGGAAAGCTGGAATTCAGTTTGGGGGTAATTGCCTGAAACGTTTAGGAATAAGGGGCAAAAAAGGGGCCAAAAATAAGCATTTTTCTAGTTTCCAGACAATAACTTGTGTTCAAGTGTATGGATCTCTCTGAAATTGTACTGCAAGGTACCATACCACAAAGGGAAGGCTGGGATTGAGTTTGGGGGTGATGAATCATAAGGGGGTTCAAAAAATTTGGGGGGGGGGATTTTTTTTTTTCCTTTTTTTTCTTTTTTTCCTTTTTTTTTTCTTTTAAAATTTTCCATTTTAAGTTGGTTATTTCTGTTTTATATTTAAAAGCAAATGATAATGATATGGTAGGAGATACACACCAAACAGGATGTGTAAATTATTATATAATAAGTATTGTGCAATAGCAAGAAATTTTCAAATGCACAGTATTGCACAATAGCAAGAAATCTTCAATTGCACAGTATTGTGCAATAGCAAGAAATATCCAATAGCACAATATTGCGCAATAGCAAGAAATTGTCAATTGTACAGTATTGCCCAATAGCAAGAAATATTCAATTGCACAGTATTGTGCAAAAGAAGATACTTCATATAAATTGCTTATTTCTTGACCAATTTCAATGGGGTTTTTATTCTTGAATTCTTGGGGTTCTTTAATATGCTGATTCTAACCGTGTATGAAGTTTTTGGATTTTGGGCCCCGTATTTAAATTGGTCCACATTGAGGTCCAAAGGGTCCAAAATTAAACTTTGTTTGATTTCATCAAAATTTGAATTATTGGGGTTCTTTGATATGCCGAATCTAACCGTGTATTTAGATTCTTAATTTTTGGTTCTGTTTTCAAATTGGTCTACATTAAGGTCCAAAGGGTCCAAAATTAAACTTAGTTTGATTTTAACAAAAATTGAATTCTTAGGGTTCTTTGATATGCTGAATCTAAACATGTATTTAGATTTTTGATTATGGGCCCAGTTTTCAAGTTGGTCCAAATCCGGGTCCAAAATTAAACTTTGTTTGATTTCAACAAAAATTGAATATATAGGGTTCTTTGATATGCTGAATCTAACCATGTATTTAGATTTTTGATTTTTGGGCCCCATTATCAACTTTGTCCACATTGAGGTCAAAAGGGTCCAAAATTAAACTTTGTTTGATTTCATCAAAAATTGAATTCTTGGGGTTCTTTGATATGCTGAATCTAACCATGTATTTAGATTTTGGATATTGGACCATAATAGGTGAATGTCAAATTTAAAAATTTTAAGTTCTTAGACCACATTCATTCTGTGTCAGAAACCTATGCTGTGTCAAATATTTAATCACAATCCAAATTCAGAGCTGTATCAGACTTGAATGTTGTGTCCATACTTGCCCCAACTGTTCAGGGTTCGATCTCTGCGGTCGTATCAAGCTGCACCCTGCGGAGCATTTTATTAAGATTGAAATAAACAATTAATTTCTCCATAGGCGACAATGATAGCCTTTTTCGAGATACAGACTTTAGAAAGTTGATTTTTTTAACGAAACCATGCTAGAATTAAAGATAAGTTATTAGGACATTATTTTTTGGTCCAAAAAATATAGGTTCGCGTTGCTTTTCTTAGCGTAATTTGTACTTATCTCCCATGCCTATCAATTTTGCACTTAAAAATATGTGTCTCATCCTAGCGTTTAAAAACATCTCAGTTCTGTTAGGGCTTAGGAAAATAATTTATTTGGCCTTTGGTATAATGCAGAATGCACGAAGTCTCTAATAACAAAAAATAACGGGCGCACATATCAACCAATCAGGATTAGCTATACTCTTAATTCTGAATACCATGTTATGCTCATAAAATGGCCGCGCCCATAAAATCTAATGGTGTATTGTAACCTTAAGAACAAAAAAAAAGTACAACAGTTATTGCCCTTGCACCTTGGACAGATAAAATATGTGCAACACGGGGGACATAGGAACTCTGTTCTTTTATTCTTTTAATGAATATATTATGGAAAAAGAGAGGCGAAAGATCCCAAAAGGATATTCAAACTTGAAACTCATATGTCGAAAGTATGAATGCAAACAGTACACAAAACACAACATAGAAAACTAGAGACTGAACAACATGAACCTCACCAAAAACTTGGGGTGATCTCAGGTGCTCTGGAAAGGTAGCAGATCCTGCTCCACATGTGGCACCCGTCATGTTGCTTATGCAAGTACAAATTTGGTGATAAAAGACTAATTTGGTAGGTCACATTTGGGGAAAGAGGACGGGATTGTGGTTACGACAATTGGAACATACACATAATAAACAGAATGCTTTATATTATAGGACAAGTTTTGGAAGAAGACTGCCATTCTTGCTGTTTATCATACAACAAATAAAAAAAAGGAAAAGTTATATGATGTATATAGACCAAACACAGGTAGACAACCTCATCCAGAATCATTGACTAGTCTAAAAAAAAGATACAAAAAGGTGCTACCAGACAATGCTCAGAAATGGTGGGAAGACCAATACATCTCATCTGCTATCAACTGTAGTCATGCCTTCTGGTAAGCAATGTTTTATCAAATGATATTTATCAACAGTTTGTATACACCTGTCATATAGTATGCCATAGTTTGTCTGTCTGTCAACACTCAAATTTTCTTTCAACAATTCTCATGGAATTATATCACAACATAAGAATTGACAAAAGAAAGCTCACTTTCTAGTTTAACATTTTTGACTTTGTCGTTCCAGAGTAACGGGACTTGCAGGCAAATTTCACATATCCCGCACCAGTATGCCTGGATTGGTTTCCTCAAAACTGCATTATTAAAGGGAGCTCCCTTTTTAATTTTTTAGCTCCATGTGAGCTTATGCCATCACTTGGCGTCCGTCGTCGTCGTAAACTATTTCAAAAATCTTCTCCTCTGAAACTAATGGGCCAAATACTTTCAAACTTTAACTAAATGTTCCTTAGGGTATCTAGTTTTTAAATTGTATCCGAAGTTTTGATCCATCGACAAACATGGCTGTTATGGCTAAAAATAGAACATAGGAGTCAAATGCAGTTTTTATACGACCGCAAAAATTAAAAATTTTTTGGTCGTTATTGGTATGACGTTGGCGTCGTCGTCGTAGTTGTCGTCGTCGTCCGAAGACACATTGGTTTTCGCACTCTAACTTTAGTTTAAGTGAATGGATCTCCATGAAATTTTACCATAAGGTTCAATACCACGAAAGGAAGGTTGGGATTAATTTTGGGGGTTATGGTACCAACAGTTAAGGAATTAGGGGCCAAAAAGGGGCCAAAAATAAGCATTTTTGTAACTTCCAGACAATAACTTGTGTGTAAGTGTATGGATCTCTCTGACATTGTACCACAAGGTTCCATATCACGAAGGGAAGGCTGTAATTGATTTTGGGGGTAATTGCCTCAAAATTTTAGGAATTAGGGGGGCAAAAAACAAGCATTTTTCTAGTTTCATGACAATAACTTGTGTGTAAGTGTTTGGATCTTTCTGAAATTGTACTACAAGGTTCCATATCACAAAGGGAAAGCTGGAATTGAGTTTGGAGGTAATTGCCCGAAATGTTTAGGAATTGGGGGCCAAAAAGGGGCCAAAAATAATCATTTTTCTAGTTTCCAGACAATAACTTGTGTTCAAGTGTATGGATCTCTCTGAAATTGTACTGAAAGGTACCATACCACAAAGGGAAGGCTGGGATTGAGTTTGGGGGTGATGAATCATAAGGGGGTTCAAAAAATTTGGGGGGGGGGGATTTTTTTTTTTCTTTTTTTTTCTTTTTTTCCTTTTTTTTTTCTTTTAAAATTTTCCATTTTAAGTTGGTTATTTCTGATTTATATTTAAAAGCAAATAATAATGATATGGTAGGAGATACACACCAAACAGGATGTGTAAATTATTATATAATAAGTATTGTGCAATAGCAAGAAATTTTCAATTGCACAGTATTGCACAATAGCAAGAAATCTTCAATTGCACAGTATTGCGCAATAGCAAGAAATCTTCAATTGCACAGTATTGCGCAATAGCAAGAAATATCCAATAGCACAATATTGCGCAATAGTAAGAAATTGTTAATTGTACAGTATTGCGCAATAGCAAGAAATATTCAATTGCACAGTTTTGTGCACAAGAAGATACTTCGTATAAATTGCTTATTTCTTGATCAATTTCAATGGGGTTTTATTCTTGAATTCTAGGGGTTCTTTAATATGCTGAATCTAACCGTGTATTAAGTTTTTGGATTTTGGGCCCAGTTTTTAAATTGGTCCACATTGAGGTCCAAAGGGTCCAAAATTTAACTTTGTTTGATTTCATCAAAAATTGAATTATTGGGGTTCTTTGATATGCCGAATCTAACCGTGTATTTAGATTCTTAATTTTTGGTTCCGTTTTCAAATTGGTCTACATTAAGGTCCAAAGGGTCCAAAATTAAACTTAGTTTGATTTTAACAAAAATTGAATTTTTAGGGTTCTTTGATATGCTGAATCTAAACATGTATTTAGATATTTGATTATGGGCCCAGTTTTCCAGTTGGTCCAAATCGGGGTCCAAAATTAAACTTAGTTTGATTTCAACAAAAATTGAATATATGGGGTTCTTTGATATGCTGAATCTAACCATGTATTTAGATTTTTGATTTTTTGGCCCTGTTATCAACTTTGTCCACATTGAGGTCAAAAGGGTCCAAAATTAAACTTTGTTTGATTTCATCAAAAATTGAATTCTTGGGGTTCTTTGATATGCTGAATCTAACCATGTATTTAGATTTTGGATTTTGGACCATAATAGGTGAATGTCCAATTTAAAATTTTTAAGTTCTTAGACCACATTCATTCTGTGTCAGAAACCTATGCTGTGTCAAATATTTAATAACAATCCAAATTCAGAGCTGTATCAAGCTTGAATGTTGTGTCCATACTTGCCCCAACTGTTCAGGGTTCGACCTCTGCGGTCGTATCAAGCTGCGCCCTGCGGAGCATTTTATTGGCTTATATCTTAAAAACTGAAGCTTTTAGAGCAAATCTGACATGGGGTTCAATTGTTCAATTGGTCAAGATCTATCAGCCCTGAAATTTTCAGACGAATGGAACAACCCATTGTTGGGTTGCTGCCACTAAATTGGTAGTTTTAAGGAAATTTTGCAGTTTTTTGTTATCTTGAATATTATTATAGATAGATATAAACTGTAAACAGCAATAATGTTCAGCAAAGTAAGATCTACAAAAAAGTTAATCTGACCATAATTGTCAATCGACCCCTTAAGGAGTTATTGCCCTTTAAAGACAATTTTACACAATTTGTTCATCAAGTTTGCTAACATTTAAAAATCTTCTCTGAAACTACTTGGCCAATTACCTTCAAACTTTAACTAAATGTTCCTCAGGGTATCTTATTTATGATATGTATCCGAAGTTTTGATCCATTGACAAACATGGCCGCCATGGCTAAAAATAGAACATAAGGGTCAAATGCAGTTTTTATACGACCGCAAAAAAATTTTTGTGGTCGTATATTGGTATGACGTTGGCGTCGTCGTCGTCCGAAGACACATTAGTTTTCGCACTCTAACTTTAGTTTAAGTGAATGGATCTCAATGAAATTTTACCATAAGGTTCAATACCACAAAAGGAAGGTGGGGATTGATTTTGGGGGTTATGGTACTAACAGTTAAGGAATTAGGGGCCAAAAGGGGCCAAAAATAAGCATTTTTGTAACTTCCAGACATAACTTGTGTGTAAGTGTATGGATCTCTCTGACATTGTACCACAAGGTTCCATATCACAAAGGGAATGCTGGGATTGATTTTGGGGGTAATTGCCTCCAAATTTTAGGAATTAGGGGCCAAAAAGGGGCAAAAAACAAGCATTTTTATACGACCGCAAAAAAATTTTGAGGTCGTATATTGGTATGACGTTGGCGTCGTCGTCGTTGTCCGAATACACAATGGTTTTCGCACTCTAACTTTAGTTTAAGTGAATGGATCTCTATGAAATTTTACCATAAGGTTCAATACCAAAATAGGAAGGTGGGGATTGATTTTGGGGGTTATGGTACCAACAGTTAAGGAATTAGGGGCCAAAAAGGGGCCGAAAATAAGCATTTTTGTAACTTCCAGACATAACTTGTGTGTTAGCATATGGATCTCTTTGACATTGTACCACAAGATTCCATATCACAAAGGGTCAATGCTGGGATTGATTTTGGGGTTAATTGCCTCAAAATTTTAGGAATAAGGGGCCAAAAGGGGGCAAAAAACAAGCATTTTTCTAGTTTCATGACAATAACTTGTGTGTAAGTGTATGGATCTTTCTGAAATTTTACTACAAGGTTCCATTTTACAAAGGGAAAGCTGGAATTGAGTGTTGTGGTAATTGCCCAAAACGTTAAGTAATAAGGGGCCTAAAAAGGGGTTTAAAATAAGCATTTTTTAGTTTCTAGACAATAACTTGTGTTCAAGTGTATGGATCTCTCTAAAATTGTATTACAAGGTACCATACCACAAAGGCAAGGCTGTTATTGAGCTTGGTTTGGGGGGAAAGGGGGGTGGGGGTGATGAATCATAAGGGGGGCGGGGGTCAAAAAAGGGGTAATTTTTTTTTTTCCTTTTTTTTTTTGTTTAAAATTTACATTTTAAGTTAGTTATTTTTTATCACGAAGAGAAAGTAGGAATTGAGTTTTGGGGTTAATTGCTCAAAAATTTATGAATAAGGGTCCAAATATTAAGGAATAAGGGGAAAAAAGGTTAAAAAACAAGGGTTTCCATTTTAATAGACAAATAATTGAGTAAAGAACATTATTTAAAAGAAGTGTAAGGTTGGTAATTCAAACTCATTTAAATATCTCATCTACACTGCTTTTAAATTATGTAAATTGGAAATTTGCCAATAACTTTATTGTTAATAAATGCATTGGAAATTTGCCAACAATTTTAGTGTAATAAACTTCATTGGAAATTTGCCAATATAAAATTTTGCTGATGAAGGTTTTTTGTTTACCTTTAGCCTTGACTATGAAGTCATTTTCTATTTTTATAGCCTTATGATGTAGTTGAATTATTTAATACTTTTATGATGTGTTTAAATGGGGTTTTATCATGTTTATGGTTGCAAATTTATTGTTTTAGTATAATAAACTCCATTTAAGATTTGCCAATAAAAAAAAGTTTTGTTTATTTTTAGCTATGATTATGATGTCATTTTCTATTTTACTTTTATGGTTGCAAAGAAATTTTTATTTTTAGATATTACTGTTAAATGATGCTGATTAAGGTTTTTGCTATGTATAGCCATGACTATGATGTCATTTTCTATTTTAATATCTGTTATGATGTATTTAAATGGGCTTTTATGGTTACAAAGGAATTTTATTTTTAGATATTACTATAAAATGTTGCTGATGCTGATTAAGGATTTTGTTTATTTTTAGCCATGACTATGATGTCATTTTCTATTTTAATACCTTTATGATGTAATTTCCATTTTTAGATATTACTGTTAAATGATGCTGATTAAGGATTTTTTGCTATGTTTAACCA